TGTGACTGATAGCAATAATTACAGCGTCAAATAGAGTTCTGCATGGAAACTAGAGACTGAAATGAGCCAAAAATGTCTGACGCGACTAGTTTTCGGTCTCTGATGGAAATAGAAAAACGTTGAGAGTATGAGAAAATTTTGAGCGATAGTATATCTGCGTCTCAGAGTCTTTTATTGATTTCGGAGGAACTCATGGAAGTCAGCTGAAGAAAGATAATTTATATCGATTATGAAACTTTTATTTTCTTTTAGATCGAAACTATAAGAAAATTATTATTTGAAAGTGGATGAAATTAATAAACCTTTACATTATAAAAGCCATCACATCATCGTCATTTCACTCAAGAAAAAAAAAAGTTGAGACAGATTTGTAATTATAAGATAGCACACATTTAATTACTTGTTAGAAAGCAAGAGTGAAATAACTATGTCATCTTCAGTGTTACCACTACTACAACTCCAGATTACTCGATATGGATCTTATATTATCTTGATTTTGGGAAACATTGGGAATGCCTGTATTGTGATTATGTTCAGTCGGCACCGTCAGAATTCTTGTTCGACGTATCTGCTATGTGCAGCAGTGATCAATAGTATTTTTATTACATTTAATATTTCATTGTCTCTCTATACTATTAATTATGGAGATCCAACAATCAACTCTCTTGTATTCTGCAAATTACGCCTCTACCTTATTCATGTATGGAGTCAAATAGCCAAATACTTAATTGTAATTGCATGTGTTGACCAATTTGTGCTGACAAGTAACTACACTCGTTTTCGAGCCATTAATCAGTGAAATACCACACGATACATTATAGGAATTGTGGTAATATTTTGGCATATTGTTCCCATTTATTCACCAATCCTAGCAACGATCATGGACGGACGTTGTGGTCAATTTGGTATCTATTATATCGTATATTATGTTTATCTTTTGATTTTTGTTTGTTTCATACCATCAGTATCAATGACCATTTTTGCTTTTCTAGCCTATTATAACATGAAGCGGCTGCACGCACGCGTTCAACCGATTCGTAACACTACTGACGATAGTCACGGTAATATTACTATTCATCGTCAGGATCAAGAATTGTTTGCTATGGTACTTGCCGAAGTAGCTGTCTACGTTGTGACAACATTTATCTATCCATTCATTCTTTTGGAGGTATCAGTAACCACTTATATGGGCATCAATAAAAGTCTTCAACAGCTTCAAATCGAAAGCTTTATTTCTTCTATTGGAATATTACTCATTTATTTGAACAGTGCTGCTCCTTTCTATACATATTTTATTGTGTCAAGAGCATTTCGTAAAGACTGCAAGAAACTTTTCATCGAATACGGACGCCAAGTGATAAGACGAGCTGATACGGTTCAAACTCAAAGAGTTGTGCCACTGCAGTCGTAAGAATAGAGTTATTTTAATATACAATATGAAATATATTCATGTTAAATTTCAATGTTGTGAATATCCTGCTGATGTATTTTGTTTAAGTCATGTAAACATGGATTCACGAGACCAGGTACCTTTCTTCGTAGTCTGTCCCAGTGTGTGAAAGAAGCTTACGGTAGCTACACGATCCATTCCAGTAATCATGCACGTTCTCGAACAATTATTTCATGGATGTCAGTATTCAGTTTATCTCTCACTTACATCCTCATCATATGGAAGTCTTTTAAGCCGTTCAGGACTACTGACGCATATATATACACGTCATGATGTCTTTTTTGATAGAGTTAAACTACTTCTGCGCTTTATTTCAGTTTGGAAAAAGAATCACATATCAGATTATAATTCACTTTTATCTTCTTCTTTCTTTTCCTTCACCTTGTTTCAGAATTTATCCTTCGCCTTCATGCATTTTTTTCTGACTCATTTGTCAAAATAAAACTAGACAGAGATTATCTATCAGTTAAAACAAGTTTCTTGTTGACAGATTTGCATTTTGATCTCGTTAAAAAATGGCAGGTGGCAAAAATTTATCAAATAAAATTTTACAAAATGCTGAGCCTGCAAGTGAATCAAGCGATGATGAAATTTAACAAAATTGTGAATCTATAGACGGTTTTGAAGAACCGAATGACGTTTCTATGGACTCTGTAACTGTTTCAAACTTCTCTCATGTGTTTTAGAAAGCAAAAAAATAAATAAAAAAAACTTAATGTTTTTCATAAGTAAATCAATGCTTAAAAGGTTAACAAATTTATTTCAAACAAATGTATTAAATTTAATATCAGACAATACATCAATTGTTTATTCTTAATTAGATTCCCATCCGTAAGATGAACACCTCTCAACACTGAATATTGAATACTTTTTCGATCATTTTTGTAGAAAAACTCTGTAAAATGAACATACACTGACTAATTACGCTTTCGTATATGAGATAAGAAGATGAGAAAGTCGACTGCATATAGTAAAGCAATGATAAATCAAATTTCGACGGTCAATTCGTCATAACAAGCTTTGCCGTATGTACAGAACGAACAGAATAATCAACATGAATAGTCTGCGATGAGTTAATCGATTTTGTGGAAAGAGTCAAGCAAGCAACGATTAAAGACTTTTTTCATAAAAAAAATTCGATGTAAATAAATAAATGAGAGTACTTTTGACTTCTTTGTGTTTACAATTGAATAGATGTTTAACAATTAAAATTAATAAAATATTCTTTTCATTTGTTACATGATAAATGAAGAAGTACGTGCAACAGATATTAATACAAAAGGTGTATATTAATGATGTACTAAATACATATATAAAATTCATTCAATGTGAAACCTCCATATGATGGACACCTCCTTTAATGAAGACTTTGAACAGTCCCGGCAGTGTTTATCTTAGAGAGCTTTCAAGTTTGGTGTTAATGGAAAAATTAATATTATTAAAGAAAAATATTTCCATGTATAGTATCGAAATAGTAGCTATAGCTAGACAACATATAAATGCATCTAGAATTCAAACATTCTAAGTTAGTATTCTAACAATAAAGCAATAATATTGAGAAAAAGAAATATTTTATTTTAACTAAAAAATCAAGAAGTTAGATACGAAATATAATATTTTCTTTTACGTCATAATTCACCATTGTAATAATTTTATTTCTTTTCTTTCTTTTATAGATATAACCATCAGTTTTATGTTGGTTATAGGAAAGGAATAAAGCTGTTAATATATAATTAGAATGAGGCTGCAACGCATTTTCTTCATGACGATATAGTAAGTGATAAGAATAAAAATGTAGAAGAGTATTAACGAGTAGTTTTATAATAAGAATTTATCTTATATGAATAGTGTATGACATGAAATATGAATAAAAGTACTTTTTCTTTACAAACAAAGAACTTAAGAACTATCAAAAATAGGTTCAAGAAAAATATGTCAGTAGTAACATCATTTATATGAATTAAAGTAAGTGATAAGAGAACGACATGGGATTTTTATGAAGTAGATATAATTAATGACATATATCATTTCTACTAGAAACATACAGACGCGAAAACAGATGAATTTTATTTATTAAGAGACCTAACACGAAACATTAATTCTATAGGTCATATGAACTTATAAGAAAACTTTCAGTTTTAGTAGATCTACTCCGCAATCACAAACAAAAGTTTTCGAAGAGGTTCACATTTAAAAAAAAATGAGTGCCATATTTTGAAAAGGAATTTCTGTTCCAAACATAGTATTCATTTTTTTGTGACTATAACATAGGTGGACCTATAATATCACTCCCCTGCATATCAGTAACAATCATTATCTGATAACAACCCTAAAATATTTATTTTTAAATATAAGCATTTAGTAAACGAATAACAGTTAATTATACGTCAAATTGAACAAGCAGATTATTAATCCTCTTATTTATTAGTCTAAGAGAGTGCAAGTGCATTTGATATTATTATAGAACATTTAACAAATCTTCATGTGGCCTTTACTCAGTTTTTGCACTCAAAGGAATACGTCCTTTCTTTATTTAGTAGTTTTAAATAAATTGAAAAATTATTTATTTTCCATAAGGCATTTATAATCTTATCTATGTTACTATAATTTCTATTCTAAAATTCTTTTCAAAGAATAAAGCACAAAATAAATTTTTTTAAATAAGATTATTTCGATAAAAGAAAAAAAATGATCTTTATTATTCTGCACTATCATAGAAAACTAATATTATATCTAAGTCAAATAAATCTCTCTTTCTCAAAGCTGAAATACTCGACAATAAATTGTTGCATGAATGATTAAGAAAGTTTACATAGACTGACAATGTATTAAGAATCTCTCCAGTCAAAGCATAAAAATCATCGTACGTCTCATTTCAAACATTTAGAGCTATGATAATACACATATATTTTATGAGATATTTTATTTTAAATCATATTTATACAGACTTATACGAGTATTAATTATTAGTAAAATTTCAATCGAAATTCTTTCTACAGTATAGATAAAGAAAAACAAAGAAACTAACTGATTTTTAACAGATAATTATTTCTATTCAAGATATTTCACTATTTTACTTTTAATCTATGTTACATATTACGATTTAATAATAATGTTTTTAATAGAATTAAATTAATTTCTATGTATAGGATATTTATATTGTTTATTCAAGCATTTAAATTGTTGTTCGGAAAGATTTATTCATTTTATTAATTCAATCTTAACTTTTGTTATGATCAATGATCAAACTAAAAACAATGCTTTGATATTAAGTTCGGTTTCTCTTGGCCTTAGTACATTTGCATGTTTGATATCATGCATAATTTTTATTATTATTATATACCAACTTTATTATAATCATGTAAAACGTGACGAAAAAATAATTATTTTTCTCTGTAGTCATATATATTTCGTAATTTTAATATATACATCAATGTTAATGTCAATGAATATTCGATCAATACTGGGCGATTTGTATAAACAATCTTTTGATTCACCATTGTGTATTTTTTCAGGATATTTATCTCTTCTAATGTTTTCTATGTTATACATGACTTTTGTAAATCAGGTAATTCGAAATAATATAAATTAGAAAATTTCTATATTCTTTTTTTGAATAACTCTAGGCATTCTATCGTCTTATTCGAATTGTTTATTTTCAAAATAGACAACTTCAATCTTTAAAACTATATACAATTTTACCAATTATAGAGATAATCATATCAACTATTTTTTTATGTGGTTTTATACCTTTGAATGGTATAACATATTTACAAAATGATCACTTTTGTTATGCAACGTTCACAAATATTCCTTGTATTCTTTCCATAGCATTTGTTATTTATATAGCTCCATTTTGTTGTTTATTATTTATTTATATTCATATAACAAGATTTATTCATCGACAAGGTGATAGTCAAACATTAATAATCCAACTACGACAAGCTCGAGATTTACTTATTATTCGACGTATTTTAATTATTGTTATTACATTACTTCTTATTGGAATACCTGCATTGACTCTTATATTCATGTTTATTGTAACAGGTAAAGAACATCCATTATTAGCTCGAATTGCATTTTTTCCAGTTAGCGCATCTCAAGCAGGATTGAGTGTAGCATTACTTTTTTCTATTCCACAACTGAAAAATATTGTTCTAAATTTACGAACAACAGAGACAATAGCGCCAGTCAATCAAGCCGTGCAAGACACACTACAAATGAGAACGATTGTCCATACTCAATAATTCTACATTGTTTTAAATTTTAATAATGAAATCAATCTTAATTATTTTTACTTTTTTAACAATTCGTATTTGTATGTAAGTGAAATTGTTCTTTTTTATTTATGAATATGAAATTAAAAATATAAAATAATATACAAATGAATAATGATTGTGTCCAATGTCAATTGCGTTCTTGAATAAAAGTTCTGGTTATTTACAAAATCTTATCAAATTTTCTTATTTGATCTATTTTTTCTAAGGCTAATTTTAGATTATCGTGACGATATAGAAAAGTTATACTATTTGTAGTAAAATATTATATTTTAAGCTTTCATTACCGGCAAACAACTCTATTATTATAGATAAAAATATTATTGTTTCTCATAATAACTAACTAAAGAAATTCTTATAAGAATGTCAGATTGACATTATTAAGGAAAAATATTATTTTCCCGTTTGCTATAAGACGTTTTTGATGATTTGAGCATTGAAAGAAAATGACGATAATAAAAAACCCGGTAAAAAAATATATCATTATTCTATTTATTCATTCAAATAAAGATAAAATTTCAATAAAAAATATTTATTCAAGCATTCATATTTCATATCCTTATATGACGTCATTTTTTTCACATTTTAAAAATGACTAGAACTAAAATTAATCATCCTGAATATATTCCGCCTGTTGTTACTAATATCTACTTATGAATATCATTATAATTGCTCGACATTATTTGCTTTCAAATAGATTGAACTCATGTTCTCGCCAAGGTTACACAAATGTTTCTAACAATATACAAATATGTTGATGTGGTCATTGTTATTTTATCGTCATAGAAAAAGAAAAGAAAAGAAAAGAAAAAAAGATTTCTAATAACAACAAAAGAAAAGTGAAGAAAAAATGTTAGAAATTTTTTTTTATTAAATTCCATCGTTCTGCTTTTAGAAGAAAAAAAAGAAAGAGAAATAAAAAAAAAAGAAAGTAAAAAAAAATTGTTTGTTGCTTAGAATCTGATTTAAGTTGACAAGCGATTGTGAAATTTCAAGGTAAAAAAGTATATAAAATAAAATTGAAAATAATTTAAAAATATTATTTTTGAAGAAATGGGGTGTGGGTCAAGTTTTTCAATATTACCATTAGTTCAGAAAAATAAAATCGTAGATTCAACAGCAAATGATAAATCAATTGGTAAATTACCTCCAATAAATTCTCAACAAAAAACAAATCGAAGTAAAGATAATCGAGAGAAAAATCTCGAACCATTTACACTTGTTTGCCTCGATAAACATTTTAATGAAAATGATAAACAACTTCGATCAATTATTGATTATATTTGTTGTTTTAATGATATAAATAAATGTGAAGAATTTATTAAAAATATCGAAAAAAATAATTTTATATTTCTTATCGTATCAAATGAATATTTTACAAATATTATCTCACATATTCATGATTTATCACAAATTATTGCTATTTATGTATTTCAAGACAATAAAACAAAAAATATTGATAAACATTGGATTAAGCGATATTCAAAGGTAATTAAATTTATTCGAAATAGGTCAATTCTTGAGAATATAAAAGTAGAAACCCAAACGTTTGTATTTTATCAATTAAAAAAAAGTGACCTACTTTAGAAAGTCATTATCTTGTGACGAAAGTATCCATTCAGGTTGATGATACCTATTTATGAGTAAAACTATCGTAACTCACAAACAAAGACATGAGGAGATGAATGCTTTTCAGAGTTATCATCAAGATCTGCTTATCGCCAGAAGATAGAGTTTAAACGCCTAGATATGTTCCCTCAGTAGTTTGCTATTTTTATGAAACATTATTTTTTTTTATTTGTTTTTACGATGAATTAATGAAGTGTTTAAGTAGTTTATATTTACTCCGTTGACATAGAAGTTTTTGTCGTGATTAATGAGAAGCTTTACGAGTGATAATCTTTCTGTCCAGAAAACATTAGTTTTTAAATGTATTTAACTGTTAATTAATGTCTAAAGTAAAATATTCACTCTCTTTTGATTCTAAATCCCTATTTGTTTTCTCTTAAGATGAAAGGCATTTATTTTGAACGTGAAATTTTATTTGAACAATTATCATCCGATGTGAATATATCAATGAATATCATTGATTTAATTCCTATCACTGTTTATAGTCGTACTGATGCAATTCAAACAAATAATAATTCAACTGATCATCTTCAATTTTTATTTTATCAATTATTTATTCAACAATATTGTTTAAATCCATCAACACTATTAAATAATAAAGATTTTCTTAATTTAATTCAAAATTATTATTCATCAAATCGTGAAGAAATGAAATTAATTAATGAATATAAAAATGAATGTAATTCATCGAATGATAATCTATCATGGTGTTTACGAGAGAGTTTTCTTCGAAAAATATTAATACAATCATTGATTACATTCAATATTCCATTATTATTTTCATTAAGATTTTTTATTCGTGATATGCATAAAGTAATGATTGAAAAAGCATCATCATCATCATCACATCAAAAACAAAATTTTTATCCAAATGGTTCAGGAAGATTTGGTAATGGGAGATTAACAAATGAACAAGTATTTTATCGTGGACAAGCTTTATGTAAAGAAACATTTTTTAAAATAAAATCTAATATTGGTGAAATATTATCAATGAATAATTTTCTATTAGCAAGTAAAAATCGTCAAGATTCATTAGGATATATTCGTCAAAATCTACCAAAAACAGATTTAATTTATCGAATTTTATTTGAAATTAAAGTTCCACGGGAATATTCATTACAAAAACAACGTCCTTTTATTGATATAAATTATTTAAATGGTCATAATAAATCATCGGATGATGATAAAGATTTATATTCAATATTATTTTTTATTGGTTCAATATTTCGAATAGATACAATTGAATTTGATATTAATAATGATTGTTGGATTATTCAATTAACATTATATGATGAACAAATAAATCAAGGTTTTTCTCAAGTATTTACATTTTTAAATGATACAAAACATACAAGTATAGAAAATACAACAATATTAGCTAATCTTCTTCGTCTAATATCACCAAATTCAGCTGAACAATTTTATAAATATTTATTAAAAGATAATTCAAATTCTTTATCAAAATTAGAATGTTATCGTGGTCTTGGTCTTTGTTCATATACACAAAATGATTATGATCAAGCATTAATTTATTATGAAAAAGCTTTAAATTTAAAACCAAATGATAAAATAATAAAATCATCATTACATAATAGTATTGGTCTTGTTTATGCTCGACAAGATCAAATAGAAGAAGCATTGATACATTTTACTAAAGCATTAGAAAATAGTTCAATACCATTACATATGGCTTGTGTTCATCATAATTTAGCATTAATTTATAGTAAACAAGAAGAATATGAAGAAGAACTTCAACATTATGAAGAAGCATTTCAAATCCGTACACGTCAATTACCAGTTCAACATTTACAAATAGCATCATTACATAATAATATTGGTATTGTATATTCTGATATGCATGAATATGATCAATCATTATCAAACTTACGAAAAGCTCTTGAAATTCGTTTAAAATTATTAGCTGATACACATATTGATGTTGCTAGAAGTTATGCTAATATTGGTACGGTTTATTCTAAAACACAAGAATATCGTATGGCGTTAGAATATTTAAATAAAGCACATATTTTATTTGAAAAACAACAACAAATACCACAACAAGATCTTGAACAACTTGATAAAAATATTAAAATTGTTAATGATAAACTTCGGTAAGAATTAAAAAATAATTGAAAATTTAAAAAAAAAATGTTTTTTCTTTTCTAGACGTCAAACTTATTGAAAATTCAGTGGATGTATACTTCTATTTTATTTTTAAATGTATTTCTCATTGAGAACATTTTTGTGAATAATTATCGTTTGTGATAAATTATATTTTGTTTTCTCTTAAAAATTATAATTCAATTTGATCAATTTATAAAATAATAGAATTTATTTTTTTTTTTATCGAATCAATAAGAGATAAAATAATCGGCTCAGAAACACGGGGGTAGAATCATAATATTCATATCTCCAAGGTAAAGTCTTCATCATTGCCGATAAATTCTAAAATATACAAGAATTATAAAAGCACCGAATCAGATTTATATAATTAGAAGAATCATGACGCATGTGTCGGTTCATAAACACGGTCTAAATATTGTCATCAGTTTCGGTGTTCCTTAGTCGAGATTCGAACACGATGACTATCAATATCGTATTCTAGAACGACTGGACAAAAGTATTCTATACATTCCGATTCAATAATAAAATGAATATAGAAAAAAAACAAAAGCATTTTTCTGTATTTTCATTTTTATCATAGAATGAAAATAAATAAAATATTTATTTATTTTAAAAATTATTTGTCATTATGAAAAAAAAAATTTATAAAAATTACGAAAAAAAATAATTAAATTCATTTAGATACATTTCTTTTGACTTGGTGATACCCAACCTCCTCTAGCTTTTTCAATTTCTTGTGCAACACATAAAGTTAATTGATCACGACCACGACCAGCAATACATTGTATACCTAAAGGTAAACACTGACTATCTAATCCTAATGGACATTGTGTTGATGGTAAACCTAATGCATTAATAATACCACAATAAATATAATCAAATGTATTCATTATTAATGGCCAACCATGTAATGGTGCTGATTGAGGAAATGTTGGAAAAAATAATATTCCATCATTACCTAATAAAACTTGAATTTCATCGAAAAATTTATGTGCTAATTTATGAAAACGTTTATTATATTTATTTGGTAATGCTTCTAATATAGCAAGACCTATAGCTGGTAATGTATGTGTTGAACGAAATAAAATTTTTTGTAATAATTCATGATAAGCAGTTAAATATGATGTACTATTAAAAAGTGTTGTAGAAAAATCATGTGTTGATAATTGTCCATCAACCATCATTGATGTCCAAAGTGGAACAGCATAACGAAGACGATTTAAACGTAAACGTGTTACATGAACTTTATATTTATGTTCAAAATATTGAACGACCTATTATATATAGAATTACATTAGAATTATTTTTGTTTAACAAACTTACTTGTCGATGAGCTAATCGTTGTTCTCGATCAATTTTATTAACAAAATAAGCATCCATTTCATCAATATAAAAATAACGTAATTTACTTAAATCAACCTTAAATAAAAAATATTTATTAGAAATGAAAACTTTCCAATATTACATCTAAAATCTTACCGAAGTATTAAAATCTAATAATTTACTAATATTTTCTGGACCTGCTAATGCTTGAAGCATTGGATGTAGATCACATGCATAACGACACATTGGTCCTGTTGCTAATAGATATTTTTGATGATATTCTTTATGTGGAGGATATTGACCTTCATTTGGAACAACATCTATACAAAATCAAGAGAATAATATTAAGATTTTTTAATGAAATTAAATATATACCAGGTGTTGTTTTATGTCCAAATATTCCATTCATAAATGATGGTAATCGAATACTTCCACCAATATCTGAACCAACAGCAAATGGTACACCAGCTGCTGAAACAATACAACCAGCACCACCAGAACTACCACCAACAATACGTGATAGATCATATGGATTATTTGTTGTACCATAAAGAGCATTTCGGCTACAAAAAAATATTTTCATAATTCAATTTTATTATATTATCTTTGTTTTTGTTCAAACATACGATTCAAACCACATACAACCTTCACTAACATTTGTATTACATAAAAGTATAGCACCTGATTTTAACATATTATCTACTGCTTTTGCTGTTTCAGTACATATAAAATCTTTTCGTAAAACAATTCCAGTTGAATTATGAAAACCACGAAATTGCATTGATTCTTTAATTGCAAATGGTACACCAAGAAATGGTGCTCGTTCTTCATTCCATTCTTCAGGTATGGATTTATCATTATCTAAAATTCGATCAATTTCTCGTGCTTCATCCAATGCTTGTTCAAATCTTTCATCAACATAAACATTTAAATATGGTTGAATAGATTTTATTCGATCAATATAAGCTTTAACAACTTCATAAGAAGTTATCTAATAAAAAAATAAAATTATTTTTTTTTGTGTTTATTTTTTAAATTATATTACTTGTCTTTGACGAATACGTTTTGCAATTACAGTTGCTGGTTGAAGTAATAATTGATTTGTTATAGATGGTAATTTAAATTTTTGATTACCATATATTAAACGAAAACCAAGATGAATCCATATTGATAAAAAACTACGAATTAACCAAAGAATAAACGATATAAATTTCAATGTTTTATCCATCATTATCACACAAGAAAATAAAATGAATGATTAACTAACTATCAAAGTCAAAGGAGTAAAGGACATAGTTCACTTTAGATTACATCAAATGATGAAATTAGAGTTTATCTATTGTGAATGGATGTAGTTTTAACCAATGTAATTCAACTTATTATGATAAAGTCTTCCATCTAGAGTTAAACTGATATCAGATAGAAGAAAAAGAGAAATGTAAAAATAAAGAGTAAAACTATATACACTGATCATCAATATAGTCATCTAAAACAAAATGTATCACAAAAAAAAATTTTCTTTTTCGAGCGAATAAATATAAATGAAGAATTTGTTAAGAAAGAAAATCTTTAATATAATTTCAAATTTTCATTCTTGCCCAAAATAATTTTTAATCATTGATCATATAAAATCTATTACAAAAATGTGTGATTAAACAACACTATTATGTCATAAGTCTAGCAACGAAAATAATTATTAAAAGGTCATATTTCATCTTATATCCATAACAAAAATAGAATTTGCATATGCATGATATATTCATAGTTTTACCATCTGATGCCTATATATATATATATTATAATCAAATTTTATTCGACAAGTATTGTTGTTTTCAATGGTATTCTTTTAAAAAACGTCACAATACCTATTACTAATAAAAATAATATTCTCTTTCAATAAAAGTATTCTCGACTATTTTACAAATTGAGAATGCTTAAAGTTATTGTTCATAATGCTGAGCATGTTCCTAATTCGGAACGTTTTACTAATATTGATCCAATGGTTGTCGTTATTTTTCAAGGTAGATTTATTTTTGAAGAGAAATAAATAATCAAGTATTATTATATAATGATATGATTTCTATAGGTATTACAAAACAAACGACTTGGCAACGATCAACATGTGATCCAAAATGGGATGAAGTAATGAATATATATATTCATTTTTTATATTAAAAATTTTTCCTATTAATGTAGACACTTGAATTTCCTCTAAATGATGTTCCAATTAAAAGTCCAGATACATTACAAATTCAACTTCAAGATTATCAAAGAATTGGAAGTAACAAGTAAATATATGAACGAATTCTAACAGCAGAGGCGGGGGTGTTATGCCACTGATATATCTTTTTTTATATTTAGATTAATTGGTCAAAGCACAATATCATTAAATGATATTATTCATGTTGGTATTATCAAACGACGTCTTGTTCAATTAACAAATCCTCAAGGTATTCTTCTTGAAGGAGTAAGCTTAATAGAAAAAGAAGTGACTGATTTTATTCTATTCTTCTCTTTTAATTTATAGACTAAATTATATCTTTCACTTGAATATACTGCACCAAAAATTGATAGTCAAGAAAAATCAATTATGAAAACAAGTAAAATATTTTTTTTTTCTTTATCGTTTTTTATGAAATTGATCTTATAGATTTAAGTCGAATTGATAATATAAATGATGAAAAATCACAAGAAATCGAAATGCCTAAAACTCAAATATTTAAATTTCAACATAAATTACAAGATTTTCAAGTAAGATCATTTACTTATCTTAATAAAAAAGAAATCTTTTGTTTTTTTCTAGATAAGAATAAAAATATTTCAAGCTCGTCAATTAAGTGGAAGTAATATTGATCCTGTATGTCGTGTTCGTGTAATAAATTTAATAAAACAAACAAAAATTCAAAAAGGAACAAATCATCCATATTTTAATGAAGTTTTCTTTTTTAATATAAATCGAAGTGAAGCTGATTTATTTGATGAATTTATTGAATTTGAAGTTTGTAATTCACGAACATTTCGATCGGATATTATAATTGGAACATTTAAAATGGATATTGCATATATTTATTCTCAAATAAAACATTCAATTAATCGAAAATGGTTATTATTAAGTAATGATAATAATCGTATGACTGGAGCAAAAGGTTATCTTAAAGTATCTGTTAATATATTAGGACCAGGAGATGAAGCACCAGTAAGAAATAAATTGAATTAGTTTTTTTTCTTCTCATTTTTTTGTTTTCTAGACACAAGAAAAAACAGATGATGATACGGATGATATTGAAAGTAATTTATTAAAACCAGCTGGTCTTATGCTTCGTCCAGCAACATTTATTTTAAAAGTTTATAAAGCAGAAGATTTACCACGAAGTTTGTTTTCAAAAGAAAATAATTAATTTCAATATAAAAATAATTTTATTTTAGTGGATAATGCTTTTCTACATGGAGTTAAAAAAATCTTTCATTCATCAGAAAATATTAGAGAATTAATTGATCCTTATGTCAAATTTTCATTTGCTGGACAACATGTACGTTTCTAGACTTTGCAATAATCAATTAACATCATATAATTTTTTTTCTCTATAAAGTAAAATTTTTAAATAATCATAACTTTTGAGATATCCTATAGGTTTCTTCCAAAATTATTTATACATGTTCACATCCGGAATTTAATCAAGAACTTCGACTTGGTCTTAAAGTAAATTCAATTTCGAATTGATTTATTTTACTGTTTATAATTTTATATTTAGTTTCCATCAATGTGTGATAAAATTACACTTACTGTTATGGATTGGTATAAATATAATTCATATTTTGTATATTATAAACAAAAAAATATATTTAGGGATCGTTTACAATTTGATGATATAACTGGAACAGCTTTATTGAATATTAATTCTATATGTAATGATCGAGAAAATGGTATGTTATGAAATTATATATTTGAAATAGTTGTTAACGAGATAAAAAAATGTTTCCTTTGGATAATGAATGATGTTAAATTTCGAGTTTATTTCTTTAAGGTTTTCTTCCAATATTTGGTCCATGTTGGATAAATTTATATGGTGCTGTACGTGAATATTCTGAATTTCCTACTACATTAGATGAATTAAATAGTGGCAAAGTAAAATTTGTCAGGATATAGATCTATGTAAAAATGTTTTTTTTATTAAATATAGGGTGAAGGTGTTGCTTATCGTGGTCGAATATTTGTTGAATTACAAACGATTCTTGGTGAAATACCAAGAGAATCAACTGGTGAAATATCAAATTCCGATATAATTCGTACATTACCATATCAATCACGAAAAAAATATAAATTACATGCAGCATTTCTTGATGCATCAATGTTATATGAACATGAATCAACTATTGAATTTGAAATAAGTATTGGAAATTATGGAAATAAATTTGATGATCTTATGGAAAATGCAAATTGTTCAACAACACCACCGACAAATCCTGTTTTTGATGGAACATCTTATTATTTTCTTCCATGGGGACATACAAAACCATGTGTACAAGTTTCAAGTGAATGGGAAGATATTACTTTTCGATTAGAATCGATAAATCAATTATCGAAAATAAAATTATTTATTGTAAATTATTTATTTCTAAAATTAAATAAAACACTATCAGTAAATCTTTTATTTTTAGACCGGTCTTCTATCAACATTAGATTTATTAAAAATAAAAAAATTATCTGATGAAATTCTTCTTCGACATTATAAACAATCTCTTGATATGGTTATTGCTCATTTAAAGTAAATATGATTTTTTTTAAATTCTTAATCTAATTTATTTTTTCAAAATAGAAAACCTTTACCTGATTTTGATATTGGTCGTTATCATGTTAATGAACTTGATCGATTAAGACGTCAAATGCGTGAAAAAGATCTTCTAGATATGATTTATAAATTAGAACAATTAAAAATTCATGCTAAAACATCAAAAGATATTATACATACATTAGAAGATATTCGAGAAAATCTTGAATATCTTCAATTAGAAGTAAAAATTTATCTCATTTTTATAAACAAAAAAATAATCATTTAGTTTTCGTTGTTTAGCCACAAAATAGTATTCCGGATGTAATTATTTGGTTAATATCTAATGGTAAACGTTATGCTTATTATCGTTTACCAGCTAATGAAGTATTTTATTCAAATAACATCGATCGTTGTGGTTATCTTTGTGGTAAAGTTCAAACAATAACATTAAAATGGCCTGGACAAGAACGAGATATTGAAAAAGATAAAAGATTTTTTATTCCAGCAGAAATTCGAGTTAAAATTTGGTTTGGATTAGCAGTATATGAACAAGATTGGTTATCACAACAAAAAGGTGCTGATTTAGTTATTTATGCTGAAACATATGAAAATCAAACGAATGTACTTGGACAATGGACAACAACTGGACCATTAATGACTCGACCAGTATGGTCTGATGTTACAGGAAATGTAAGAGAAAATAAAGAGAAACCTTTTTTTTGTTTCTTATTAAAATTTCTAGATGAATTTATTAAAACAAAATTTTCAAGTTCCATTTGGTTGGCGATGGGAAGATGATTGGTATATTAGTCCAGAAATTAGTGCACGATATGCAGATGATGCTGGTTATAGAAAATTTACTGAAGAAGTTTATGAACATCAATATCGTTTAATTGCTGGAGCACAATGGCAACCAAAAGCAATTGGATGGACAAATTTAGTTAGAAATTTATTTTAGAAATAGAATTTAAAAATTTCAATAAAATTCTTCTTTAGGTCGGTGATAAAGTGTTAAGTAAAAATGAACGAATTGAACCACCAACAGGATGGCTATGGGAAGATGAATGGACAATTGATACGAATCGAGCTGTAGATGAAGAAGGTTTTGAATATTGTGTGAATCAAACATTGAGTAGTTGGTGTCCTGTTGAAAAATTATTTCATTTAAATCGTCGACGACGTTGGTTTAGAACAAGGATTTTAGATGAAGATCAAATTTTAAAAGAAAAACAAGTAAATTTTTTCGTATTAAATATATAATTATTTCGATAATTTTGTTTTGTTCTAGAGAAGAGAAACTTCAATTGATTTAAATAATGGTGGATGGGAATATGCTCCAATGTTTAATATGAAATTTCATGCTGATGAACGTAGTATGGATATGACACGTCGAAGACGATGGCATAGAAAAATGGTACCAGATACTTCATTATTAAATGAAAATATTTTAAATAATTCCACTGGTGGAATTGTTGCAAATACAGATATTGTTTTTCGTATGCAATCACAAATATCATTTACAAAAACTGATCAACAACAAATGGATTCATTATCAATAAAAACAAAAGATATTAAAATTGAATTAAGTGCACCAAGAATGTTTCTTAGTTTTAAAAGTAAATATCAAATTCATTTGAAATTCAAATATACATTTATTTATTCTAGAACCATATCATTACGAACTGCGAGTATATATATATCAAGCACGTAATCTTCTTTCAATGGATTATGATAGTTTTTCAGGTATGTGTTTAGATATTTATTATGAATTCTAATTTATTTGTGTTAAGATCCATATGCACAAATTGGTTTTATTAATCAAAGTCAACGTACTGAAATAATTCAAAAAACTTTATGTCCAACATGGGATCAAGTAAATAAAATCTGATTTAATATCTGAGAATGAAAATATTCTTTATTTAGACTTTAATATTTTCAAATGTTGAATTATATGGTGAACCAGATGAAATTCATCATAATCCTCCAAATATTTCAATTGAATTATTTGATAAAGATGAATATGTAAATTCGATACATTTATTTTGAAAATTTTTATGTTTTTCTTTTGACATGTTTCATAGGGAAGTCCAGATTTTCTTGGTCGTGTTCAATGTTCACCTATTGTTCGTTTAACACCTAATGAAACTAAACCAATTATTAAATTAAACTGGTTTGAAATAAAACGAGGAAAAGATCATGCAGGAGAATTATTAGCAGCATTTGAACTTTTCTTAGTTTGTCTTTTAATAATAAATATTTATTTAAATAATTCAAATTGATTTTTAATTAGTTACCAGAAAATGACACTGAGAAATCAATACTTCCATATCCATCTAAACGTGGTTCGTTATTTATGGTACCGGAATCAATTCGACCAAAACTTGTTCGAACAGGAATTGAGGTTTTATATAGAATTTAATAAGTTATAAATAAAATTATTATTTTAGATTCTTTGTTGGGGTGTAAGAAATATGAAAACATTTATGTTATCAGATATTGATTGTCCACAAGTAGTATTTGAAGTTGGTGGGCAACAGATCGAATCAACAATGATTAAAAATGCGAAGAAAACACCAAATTTTGACAAACCATTATTATTTCTTGATGTGGTATGTTTGATTTCTAGATTACCGGAACTTCGGCGAAGATCCGGAGTCCCTTTTTTTTTCTTTAACAATTATTAATTTATTTTTCTCCTCGATAAAATATGATTAGATGTTACCAAAAGAAGATTTATATACACCACCAATGAATATTAAAGTAAAAGATCATCGATCATTTGGACGAAAACCAATTGTTGGTTTTCATATTATTAAATCATTAGAATTATTTCGATGTGATCCAACAGTACCTTCCTTAACACTTATGCAAGTAGCTAGTATGTACATTCTTTAGAAATAATTAACTTGATGAAATAAAACATACATATAATTTTCAGAAAGTAAATCATCACCTGTTGTTCTTCCGGTGGATGATAATGTTATTCCAAAGAAAAAAAAACATCGAAAAGTAAAAAAACAAAAGTTTTCTTTCAGTTTTTTTCTTAAATAAAATAATTTGATTTTAAATAGTTTTCTCGTTTATCAAAAGCAGAAAGTACGTCAACTAATAGTACAACTGTATCACAAACAGATAAAATAAAAACGGATAAAAAAACAATGAGAAAACGAGTAACACATTTTTTTAAAAAATCGAAATCGTTTAGCATACCAATGAAATCAGAAACGAAATTAGCAAAAATTCAAAAATCAATGTTGAGATGTCAACAACAATATGAAAATATTATTGGAAACGAGGTAATTAAAAATAGTAAAGATATAAATTATTAAATAAGACTTATTATTTGTATTTAAGATAATTATCGAAGACGATATTGATTGGTGGTCAAAATATTATGCATCAAAAGGTGAACTGAATAAATGTGGTACTTATATAGCAAAAGGATATGAAACTTTAACAGTAAATTTAATAAAATTCTCTTATTTTCTTATATTAATTTTTTAATTTCAAAGATTTATTCTCATCCATTGGAATTATATAAATTTTATGAAGGTTTTACAGATTTTTGTCGAACATTTGAATTATTTCGTGGAAAAACAAAATTTGAAGAAGAAAATGAAATTGTTGGAGAATTTAAAGGTCTTTTTAAAGTTTATGCGTTACCAGAAAATCTAAATGAACCATTACCACATCGTATTATGGAAAATTTTCCATCAAATACTTTAGAAGAATGTTTAATTCGTGTTTATATTATTCGTGGTATGGATTTACAACCACAAGATACAAGTGGAAACTCTGATCCATATATTGAAATTCAATTAGGAAATATACGAATTGATAATCGAGATGAAAGAATACCAAATACAACAAATCCAATTTTTGGAAAGTTAGTTTATTATTCATTTTTTACTTCTTATTTACTTATTTTTATTAGACTTTTTGAATTAAAAACAATTATTCCATTAGCTAAAGATTTAATAATTCGTATTAAAGATTGGGATTTAATAACATCAGATGATATGATTGGAGAAACAACTATTGATTTAGAAAATAGACTTTTAAGTAAATATCGTGCAACATGTGGACTTCCATTACAATATAATTTGTAAGGTTCTTTGTTAAAAAAAAGTATCTTCGTGAAATTAAAATTTATTTAGAACTGGTCCAAATCAATGGCGAGATAATATTCGACCACGAAAAATTCTTTATGATGTTTGTAAACGAAATAATTTACCCTCACCAGAATTACTCGATGAACGTTCAATTAAAACTGGTGATTCAGTGTTTCATTTGGAAGATTTTGGTTTGTTTAAAATTATTTTTATCTAATTTATTTATTTAATCAAATTTTGAATTTAGAACAAGAACATTTTTTAACAAATCATGTTGGTGAAAATGAAGAACGTTTAGCATTGTATATTTTACATAAACTTTGTCTCTGTCCAGAACATATTGAAACACGTCCACTTTATAATTCTTTACAACCATTTATTGAACAAGGTCGTTTAGAATTATTTGTAGATATTTTTCCAATGTCACAAGGTTCACCGGGACCACCTTTTCAAATTACACCGAGAAAACCAAAACCGTACGTATAGGGTGTGACTATGAGCGAGGGGTGGGTATAGGTATGTGTTCGATATCAAGATTATATCCTCATCCACATCCTCCACACTCTTCTTCTGTCACATAAAAAAAGAATTCCTAGATCCTAAGAGTTTTTATCAGTCTACTGCCATTAAAATTGTTAATAGATATATTTAATTGAATTTTTATTTAGTTATATTCTTCGTTGTATAATATGGAATACAAGTGCTGTAGTTTTACAAGAAACATCTATAACAGGAGAACAAATGTCTGATATTTATGTAAAAGGATGGATGACTGGAAAAGAAGATGATATACAAAAAACAGATGTACATTATCGGTTTGTTATAGAAATTATTTTATTTTAGTATTTTGTCTATATTTTATATTAGATCAATGGATGGTGAAGGAAATTTTAATTGGCGTTTCGTTTATGGATTTTCTTATTATCCTTCTGAACGATGTCTATCAATAAAAAAGAAGGAATATTTTTGGAGTTACGATAATACAGAATTAAAACTTCCACCTATTTTAAATGTTCAAATATGGGATAATGATAAATTTAGTTCAGATGATTTTCTTGGTAATTAGTTTTTATTACTTTATTTTAAAACAAATTTGTTTTTTGTAAGTGTAGGTGCGCTAACACTTGATTTAAATCATTTATATAAACCAGCAAAAGATTTTGATGGTTGTAAATTAGAAATGTTGAATGATCAAATATCAAATACTGTTTCAATATTTGATATAAAACGTTTAAAAGGTTGGTGGCCTTGTGTTGATATTCATAGTGGAAATTCTGAACTTACTGTAAGTTTATTCTATAATTTGATTAAGAAAGAAAAAATCGAGGAATTTTTAGGGTAAAATTGAAATTGAATTAGAAATTTTAACTGAAGACGAAGCAAATGAACGACCAGCTGGACGTGGTCGAGAAAAACCTAATCAACATCCATTATTAGAATTACCTCAGTAAATATTTTTTATTTTCATAAAAATATTTTATAAATATGATTTTATATCTTAGACGTCCTCAGACATCATTTCTTTGGTTTACATCACCATATCGTACATTTAAAAATATCATATGGAAAAAATCGAAATGGTATCTTTTAATTATTTTATTATTAATATGTTTCATTACATTTATACTCGTATTTCTTTGGTCTATGCCTGTAAGTTAAATTCTTAGGAAAATAATTTTTATGACATATATTTTAAAAAAAAATCTTTTATTTTCTGTTTTATTTTAGAGTGCGATAATATCTCGTCTTTTGCCTTCATCGGGATGATTGTATTAATTATTATACATAACAGTTGTATTTGATTTTCTTAATCTGTTCTATTAACTAATAAATTTCGATCATCAAGAATAAGATTTTGAACTCTTCGACGTTCGATTTTTGTTAAAGGATCTTTTGTTAAACCATTTGTTGATGCACTTGTTGGACGTGAAGACATTGATGATGATGATGTATATTTATCTTTTTGTGATGACGATGATGGATTCATCATGAATGCTTCAAAACGAAGTGCACTTAATGCATTAGGTTGAAAAGCAATTATTTGATCAATTTCATTACGATGTGATTTTGAAAAACGAAGACGAGTTGCTCGAATACTTTTTAATTACAAAAATAAAGAAAATTTTATTTTAAAGAAAATTCATTTTTACCGATTTCTTGCTTCAGCTGCTTTTAGTTCACCAATAACAATAGCATACTGTCGAGCCATATAGGCTTCTTGACCTAATTCAGCTTGAGTTTTTTTCTTAGTAGTAAATGGTTTATCATCATCAGATGATTTTTTAGTGACATGTTTATCAACTACTTGTTCAGCCATTCTTATCTATTGATTCTGACAAAATAATGTTTGCTAAACCATTGATTGATATGAATTCCATAGTAACCGTTGGGAAATAATTAATTATTAATGAAATTAAATAATTTCAAATATTATAGATGAAAATACTGATTCTACTCTATGAGATAATGATAAACTATAATTTAAAAAAATCAGTTAAAAATATTGATAGATGACGCTATAGACTTTTATTTGATTGGTTCTATAGGTAAGTGACTAAATCGAGTTGTTTTTTTCGTCAAAAGTTCGTCTTGTATTGTGATTATTATTTATATTCGATAATATTTTTAGAGAATTCTTTTTATTAAAATATAAAAATGAAATTAAGTCTTATTCGACTCAGTGGTGGTGGTGATGCTGATGTTCCAGCACATATTCGTCAAAAAATGGCAACAAGCTGGTATGTTCGTCATTTCAATTCATTTACAACTCAGGGCCGAGCTAATACAGTAATGGCTGTTGTTGGTGGTTGGTTTCTATTTGGTTATACTATGTCAAAATTGGCCAAATCCCGAAAAGCAAATAAAGCCGCATCTGATCCTCATCCAGCTTCAACTCCAGCTCCACGCCCATCATCATCATCATCATCACATAAAAAGAGTGCTCATCATTAAAATTACTTTCTTTTTTCTTCAAACATATATATTCTGTTAGTAAACATCCGTAGAAATAATTATAACTTTTCCGTATTTTTCTCTATATTCAAACTTATTAGAAAACAATAAAGTAAGAACATCGATTATTTAAAAAAAAATTACATATGAATTAACAAAATATACTATGGTCATCTGAAAATAATTATTAGTTTATTTATTTTAAATAACAATCAATGTAGTAGAATACAAATTGAGTTAAGTATTATTATTGTTAATATAAACGACTATTTACTTTATGGAAAAAGTTAAATATAACTAACAGTAAACAAATCAATATGATAAAAATTGTTTTTTATTATTTGATTTATTGTATAACTAATTATCTGAGCTATGTTACCGCATAAATTAAAGTAAAAGTTGATGTCTGAATGATAATTATCCATAAATTATCCAATAAAGATAATAATATGCTTTTCTATTGAATTATCATCAATACCAAAGATTAATAGAGTTCATTTTTTTACTAGAAATAATTGACCTTTTTTTCAATTATTTTCTAATCATCTCTGCATCATTTATAATGAGTCATTATGTGTAATATAATGTTATATATTTATCTTCAAATCCGTTATTTTTTCAAGAAACTGATAAATGTAATATTAATAGTTCATGTCAATTTTCTTCTATAGATCGATACATATTTATTCATTGCGAAAGTGATCCAATCTATATTTATTAACTGCTTGATTTGTCTCCATAGAGAAACCATCAAATGATTCTCATTGATAGCTATTTGTATTCTTCTTAGAAAAGAAAAAAAAAGATTTAATTGTTAGTTTTAGAAATCGAGTAGATCACTCAGACAATATTGATGACACCAAATGTAACAGTAAATATTTTCTAAAACATCTATTGTCAATGGTAATATTTATTTTAACTTTAAGAATATATTTAATATTAATAATGAGTCAACTTCCGTACCTTATTTATTATCGACATTTATTCCTATTACCTTTTGATATCATTTATCAAGTAATAGAAAATGAGAAATCAATCATAATTATCCAATTAAGACTGCAACGGTAACATTGACTATAATGTTCCAATTCATCGCGTTTTAATCATACAAAATTCAAAATCTATCTATTAAATATATACTTGCTTCACTCTACTGTCTATTTCTTTCTGGAGAAGCTATGTTTAGATGATAACCACGATAATCATGACTGTCTATTTAATAAAAAGTATGTGTTCAATTCTTGTTCTTTTACTCTTAATTTTTCTTTTAATACTATTAAAAAATATGCAACTTCATACATAATAGCAAAATAGTCATTATCACATTCTGTCGGTTTTCTCCAGGTATCATTCTTAATGGTTATAGTTAAAGCAACCACTTATATATAGTAATGAGAATTAAATTACGAAGAAGTATTTGCAAACATCAGCGAAAACAAATATATCGAAATAGATATTTGTTTTTGTCTATCTTGTTTTGTCAATTTATTTCGAGCTACTTTAGTTTTATATTATCAAGATACCCATCTTTCATTCTTATTTTGTTAAAATCTATATAAACTTTATCTTTCTTATTAACTAACAATACAAATTGACATTATGAAGAAATGTTTTTTATTCAGTTCACACTTTCCTAACACATTACAAGATATTCTTATTTCTAGACAGAATCGTTTTTTCTGATTCAATTAAAAGACATAACTAAACACAAAATATTACAACTTAGTTGCTAAGTTTTGAAAATATATTATATAAGACTTGATAATGAAGTAAATGATTATTTATTGAAAGTATAGATCTTTTACAAAAACTGACTATCATCTATAGATTTGGAAATACTTTTAGAACGAAGCGAAACGATACAAATCGTATCTCACATTAAAACAATTTCAATATGACACCAGTATATCATCATAATAAGCATATAAAATATGTTTTTATAATACAATATTCTCTCATGAGAAAAAACTTTGTCATCTGTCAAACAGAACTTTTTTTTTGCGTATGTTTGTAATCAATACATATCGTAGAATATTATTTTTCATCTATAATAGTTTCTAAATATTGTCAAATGTAGAAAGAAATTAATATTATTGATTATCTCTAATGATAAAAATGAATTAATAACAAAATTTTAATTTCGAAAAGAATTGTTTTTATATAACTTTAAAAATTAACTTTCTGTGCATATCCATCATTAGTATTAATCACTTTCATACACATGTGTTACGCGAAAAGGAGAAGATCAATTGGGATTATTATCCCTACAGAATAAATTGATATGCATATATTCATTCTTATTAGTTGATAAAGCGAAGTGTAGAATTACAATTTAGAAATAAATAAGAATTTTATAATATATCTTGATGTGTCACAAGTTTACTATTCATGTGCGTATTTAAAATAAAATTTTAATTTTTTATAATAAATTAAAATCTAATCTTGTCTTTATTTTTAATATTTGTAAAAGCAATGACATTTTTATGATAAAATATCGTGTTATGTTGTCATTTTCTAATCAGATGAATAAAACATTGTTTAATTATTCTTCATTAAATTAGCTAATGGATATAAATAATAAAACAGATTGATAGACTTTAGAAGAACAAACTATGTTAATCATAATAAAGCCTTGTCCTTATCTATTTGTCCTTGTACATAATAAATACTTGTATACATATTTAACATCATCTCATATAGGTCGGAATATTTTTGTCGTTTTCTTTTTTTGTGGAAAATATCTCGAAAAACTACTTAGTCAGATTAAAGAATAATTTTAGACAATTTTTTTTAATTAAATGTCGATATAGAAACCCAAAAAAAGAAAGAATCGATAAATAACTATGAGATTGATTTAGTAATATGATAATTATTAGATTTATTGCTTGAATAAAATGAGAAAAATAAGAAAATCTAATATATTTTTTTTATGATACACACTTCTGATGTCGAATTTGGGTAATTTTTCTTGTTGTTATATTTACATTAACAATAATACTTATGTATTCAGTGTATAAAGAAGAAGTTTTTTTTTGCTTGTTTTGAACTAAAATAGTTTATGTCTATGTTTGTTTGCTTGGTAATGATGCCTATCTTGGGTCATATAGATGTATTGAAGCAATTCTATTTGTTGGCAAAACGATACCTTCGAGAATGCTGACAACGACTAACGCTTGAGAGCAATTATACGAAAGTGACAGCCACAATATGCTAGCAATCAGATCTCTTGTGTGTACACATACATATATATATATATACTCAAATGAGCAAGTGGGTTGATTGGCTTATACTTCTGTTTATTATGTGTAGGTAGTATCATCATCATCGTCGTCGTCGTCGTCGTCGTCGTTTTTAATGAAAACTTCATATATTTTTCTTCTATTTGCTGTTCATTGAATATATGAAAGCGATACAATGATCATATGATAAATTTGTTAGAGTTTTGTTTTTATTAATTTTATTAACTAAACAGGTTTTATCAATTGCAAATAGACAAAATAATAGTCAGTTAAGTTTTATTCTGTTTTCTCCTTCTTCTTCTTTTTTTCTCTTGTCATTCTTTAGCTCTCTTTTATCGAACGAAGGGAAAGCGAGATCGATGAATACACATAACGATAATCATGATGCAAAAAATCTTCATTCTCTTTTTTTCTTTTTTTCCTATTTCCTTTTAACAGACTTCTCAAGCATGCTATACTTCACTTGTTCTTCAATTCATCGGCAAAAACATAGGCATACTCAAAAATTCTAATATTTTCGTTTATTACAATAAAATATTTCTTTCTTTCTATTCATTCAAAGTAAGTCATCATTTATACATACGTTTTTTTTTAAAGAGATTAATCCACTAAAAAAGAAATCTATACTTCCTTTATTTTGTTTATATTGTTACAGTGTAATATCAGACCTTTTTTTTATATTGAGAATAATATGCTCTTTTTTTTGTAAATATTAATAATCATTACTTCCGTGTAAGTAAGAAGAATTACTTGCCGATTAGCTTTTTATAGAAATGCGTTGTATATAAATAGACATTATCGATAAATCATCATTTGTACATAGATTATGATTATTATTAATTGAGTTTGAGTAAAAATGTGTATTTTTATTCTTGTAATAAACAATGAGAATTTAAAATCTAACTAAATATTATCAAGAATTATTTCCGATATCTTTTTTTAAATATAAAAGCAATTGTTCCTTCTTCTTTTTTTTGTTGTTAATAAATATGCCCATAAAAGATCTTTTAGTACAAAAAAGACTAAATGAAATCATCTGAAAAATTCAATTAAGTAATCGTTTTATAAATGAATACGTGATAATCGTTCTAATGTGATTTAATATATGTCTAAAGAATTAAAACTTAGAATAGACATGTCAAAATAATAATATTCAATTGTATAGAAGGAGTATTCATTTTCCTTATAAATATTGTCAAAAATAATAAAAAATTTCTTCTTTTATTAACAATGGTTTAATTTAGTTTCTTTTTCGTTGTTTTTCTCAAGTGTTCAATTATGAAAAAATATAGAATCGATAAAAAGACCATATGATAAGTATGCATTTAATTGACAAATGTAATAAAATGTTGTAAGAACATCATATATGACAAGACAATGATGTCAATTTTCGACATAACATTTCAACTATTTGTTTTCTCCGTTTTTCTTTTTTTGTCCGTACTATTTTCAATATTACGAATACAATAATCATTGGCACGTCTTTCTAATTCCATTAATATATAGGACCCAATTGATTACTTCGCTATCGTTGTGTCGATTTGTTCAAAGTCAATTAAAATAATGTTATACTAGCGAATAATCATATTCTCGACAACCTTTTTTCTTTCTCTCTTTGTTAATAAATTATGAATGTTTTGTATTTTTATCACTAGCTAAGAATATAATGTATATCACGAATTACTTCCACCGCTTATACACACACACACACACACACACAGTTTAATATAGAAATCCCCTCGAGAATTTGTTTTTTCCTCTTCTTTATCTAACATATTAATACATAAAAACGAGTATAGAAAGCAGCAAGCAGCTGAGAATTGATCTTGATTAGAATAAAATAGGTTCGGATGTATTGTTAATGAGAATAGTCATCTGTTAGGCAGATTGATTTTCCATTAGGTTTTTTTCGTAGTTTAATTTATCAGTTTTTTTTCTCTAATCTTACATCTCTGTCTCAGAGTCATCGATCCTATATGAAATCTTATCAAAAGTAATGTGAGAAAACTATAACGATTCTCATTGCAAAACATCCAGTCTCATGTGCAAATTCTAGTGCTTTTGAAAACTTTTCTAAAGTATTATCATTTGTGAATTGATGCATATTTTTAGATAAAATTTGTAATTTGTCAATGAAATTTAATACTGAATTCTAAAAAAAGAATAGTACTAAAAGTTAAAATAAAATTCATCATATGATCTCTAATATCACTCTTGTATAAGTTTTATCTAGGACACATGTCTTGAAGGTAAGATATAACATATAAAAAATGTTTGATTTAAATATTGATAAATATTTTTGTTTCTTTTTTAACTTACAATTGAAAGCAAATAGAAAATTTTGATTATTAACTTGATGTGATGACTTTTTTTTTTCTATTTTCAGAATAAATGTAACAAGACCAATAGCATCATTGATTATTGTTTACAATGATCGCAACCACCGACTGTAATTGTAAACGTTACTAACAATCGGTGAATACAACAACAACAAAAAAAATACAAGAAAAGTGATTATCAATTCAATAAGAAGAAGAAAAAAAGTATGAACTAGAAATAGAAGAGAAAACGCTAATATTTGCTTCTTGAGTCGAGCATAAGCGATTACATAGTTGTTCGTTATAGCGAACTTACATCTTGACTGTAGAATTCTCGTTATTTCTTGCTAAGAGTATAATATTCTAGTGAAGTTACGATTTTTTAATACAATCTTCTCCTTTTGTTCTTTTCAATCATAATGTAATTTGAGCTTTCATTTATATTGTATTTGTTTTGACAGATGTTATTGAAAAACAAAATAGTCGAGCATGACATTCATTAATCGTAAGTCTGTTTTTAGTATAAAGTCTTACACGATAGTAAACACGTGTTGTTCAATATAACAACAACAAAAAGAATAGATTTGATTTTGTTGTTTTTCGATTACGACGATCGAATTATTCTATTTTATTGAAATGTTTTAATACAAAATAGACAATAAGTAAGTAATTATCTTCAATTCTAATTATTTAACTATTCAATAAAAATAACAAAAGTCATAAATCAATGAATACAAATCTATATAGTATAATATAAAATGATTTCTCTATTGTATATGAATGTAATCAACACCCCCGTTGATTTATTCTATTAAATACGCAAAAAAAAAATATATGATTACATTTGATTATTTTAAAATTCTTCTATATTTAGTTTTTTAATAATGAACATAAGTTTATTTAAAATCGAAGATCTTACTATTGGTGGAAGTTTTACAAGTTTCTCACAATCAAATCCAATATTTTTTAATCTTTCTGGTTCATCATCAACAACATTTCATTATAATAATAGTTTAACAACAGTTGCAATTGATTCTGCCTTATCATCCTATGATCCATATCAACATCTAACTGAAACAATTGTTTATAAATATATATGTTTAGCTATATTTGTCATTGGTGTAATTGGAAATTTACTTAGTGTTCTTGTTTTTAGTCGAGCATCATTACGGCATCGTTCATGTGCTGTATATTTTCTCGCTTTAGCAATTACTGATATAGCATCACTAAGTGCATCATTTATTGATACGGTTCTTCCTTCTTATAATCATGTACCATTGACTGCAAAATCATTATTCATATGTAAATTAAATCCATTAATGGTTTATTTTACAACAGATTTATCCAATTTTTTATTAGCTGTTGCATCCCTTGATCGAGCTGTATCAATTCAATGTCCACTTACATCAAAACGTTTTTGTCGTGCACGTATTGCTATTTATATTATAATAATTATGTCAATTATATTTCTTTTAATTAATGCACATATATTTTGGGGTTTTGAAATCGTTACTGTTGAATCACAAGATCCACCACTTCAAGCATGTTTACCGTCAAAGACAAAAATTGTTTATCATAATGAACCAAATTCAATAAATTATGATCGTTTTTATCAAATATTTGATTCATTAGATATGTTATTTGCTGTTGTTATTCCATTTATTGTTATGCTAATATGTAATATAATTATTATAATACGTGTTTTAACATCACGACGTTCAATACGAACAATAATGACAACAGCATTACATTCAAAAAAACATCGTAAGAGACATGAAAAAGAAAAGCAATTAACTGTGATGTTACTTGGTAGTGCCGCTGGTTAGTTTTTAATTTTGTTTATTTTAAAATAATTCAAATTAATTTTGTTGTTTTTTAGCTTTTTTAGTATTTACATTACCAACAGAAATCAATGATACGGTACGTGTATTCCGTCCATCAGATGCATCACAAATAAAAGGTGCCATGGCTTTAATAACAGCTATATTTATAGCCATGGGACAATTAAATCATGCTATTCATTTTTATATTTATACATTAACTGGGCGAGTTTTTCGAAATGAATTAATTCAATTATTTACTTTACCAAAAAACAAAAATTTAGTAAATAGACGAAACAATACAGAACAAACACTTCTTCAAACAAAAAATGTTTTAATTCAAAATAATAATAATAATATTAATATAATTAACAATCATAATGAAGCTCATGAATTTTAAAATAAACTTTTCAATATTGAGATTATTGTAAATCAGAGATATTCGATATATCTAACTATATATATTTATTAATAAAAATTATTCTCTTTTTAAAAATAAATAACAAGAAAAAGTATTGTATATTTAATGAAGTTTTCTGATCTTATTCGTTATTTTACGAGCACAATGATTAGTAAAATAGAAAAAAAATGTTATTTTGTCTTTTTTTAAATTATTTGATTAGACTGGAATGGTTTATTGACTTTTCGGAGACAGAAAAAAAGGTGTTTACTAATTATTTGTTATCCAGATGAATGAAGTAATAAAGTACAAAAATGAGTGATAATGATTATACAATGCCCATCTGTTTAATATAAATACAAGTGTGACATAGATTTTGTACTAATAGAACAATTTGTTTTCAAGTCAATAGTTCAAACTAATAAATTGTAATAAAAACAATCGATAGAGATTTTATCACAATTTAAAGTTGATTATTCTAATGTAGTAAAAATTGAACTAAGAATGTTCTTAATTGCTTGCTGAATAATTAAAATCAAGTGATAAATAGTACTCGTTTTATGATACTTTTATAACCTTAACATTGATTATCGAATTATGATTGTTTGTTTTGTGCTAAAAACGTTATACGAACTATATCAAATTAACAAATGAATTATTTTCTAATTCTTGTGTTTTTTTTGTGTTTTTTTATTTATTAGTAAAACAATAACGATGTTATAAATCAATAATGATTTTCTTTTAGTTTGTTGTTTATTCGTCTTAAACAATATGTTGTTAGATGATTAAAATCCACAACATAATTTTTTTTTATTTGAGTGGAATAAAACGAGACGAATGGGTTGCACCAATACCTGGTCGACCGTGTTTAACTGGTTTATATGTAATTGAAAATTCTCCCAAATAATGTCCAATCATTTCAGGTTTAATTTCAACTGAGTTAAATGTTTTTCCTTGATGAACACCAACAACACAACCGACCATTTCAGGTACAATAATCATATCACGTAAATGTGTTTTAATAGCTTGTGGTTTTTCTAATTCAGGTGTTTCTTTTTTAGCTTTACGTAAACGTTTAATTAAAGCCATTGGTTTACGTTTAAGACCACGTGATAAACGTCGTCGTGCACGACAATGTAATAATGGCATTAATTGTTCGGTATTTAAATCTAATAATTGATCAAGATCGACACCACGAAATGTAAATTTACGAAATGTACGTTTCTTTTTTAAATCAGCGGCACTTGGACCACCAGTTGTATCTTGATCAGCCATTATCTATAGAAAAAATACCTAGTTAATTAAATAAAAAGTGAAATTTGTTAACTTACACTGAGTTTTTTCTTTTTGATGTTTTTATTGATTGAACAATTGGGTCGTTTAGAACGACTTTAATGAGAATATCTAGAATATATTGAAATATTTAATATTTTACGAATTAAATTTAAAAAAAAACAGAGATTTTTTTTCTTCATTATTCGTTTATTTATTTTATACAATTGAAAAACCAGAGAAAGAGAGAAAGAGAGAACCTTCTTGTAGTAGTAGAGTATGAAAAAAAAGAGATTGAGAGAAAGAAGCGGCGACACTGCAACGCAACGATTAGTGTAATTCAGAAGACACACACACACACACGAAATACACACGCGCGAAAGAAAAAAAAAGAAATAAAGTAAAAAAAAAAGAGAAATATAGGATGCTAAAAGCGATAGAGTCAGATCGAATACCAGACATGCCTATTTGTGCAGGGCAGATTCTGTGGCTATTGCATGATGGACACCACCAATGAGTATTGCTGTCATTCCAAGAATTGAACAATGCGTAGAAGAAAAGAAATGATTTCAAACACAATATAATAAACGACAATGACAACAGATAACAACAATGAAAAAAAGAAAAGAGAGAGACTAGAGAGCAGCAGCAGTAATAATACGCGCAGTGCGCAAGTACAAAACAGATACGAGGTATGTATATATGACAAACAGACACAAAAAAAAAGATTTGGGCTGCCTGTGTGTGTGTCACTGTTGGTTAAAGTGTTTTCTCTGTCGAGCGCGTTCAGAGATACACAAAAGAGAAAAGAAGATTAATTGAACTAGAGGAAACAACTCGAATTTGACTTTGAACACGCACACTGTACGAGAAATACACACACACACACGCAAATGAAAAATGACGAAAAAAGAAAAATTGAAACGACCATTCTAATATAATAGTGTAGAGTGTGTGAATAAGAGAATAAAAGAGACACAAAAAAAATAATAATAAACGAAAAAAAAGAAAAGAAAAGAAAAATGAGAGAGAGCCACATGTCTGTCTAGAGAAATTGAATTTTTTCTATAAAAAAATTCTGTTTTATTCTTTCAAATATTGCTTTCTAAACCAAATTGTACTCTTTGAGGTTCAATTGAAGTATTGTGTCTTTAACAGCAGCAAATACAAAGCGGATATTCTCGGTATCTAAACAAAATAACAAAAATGAATTAAAAATGAAAAAACAAAATTTTGCTACTCAGGGCAAGGATGAAACTTTGTGCTCATTGAAGATATTCAATAAATAATTTCTACCGCTCGGTAAAATCTCTTTATTAATCTTCTCGCACCACTGCGCAAGTTTTCTTTGTCATCATCGTAGCAAAACAAAATTTTCAGTTTGTTTCTTTTTATATTTAACTTACCAGTTGCACAGGTAAAATGTGAATAGATAATCTTATCACTATCTGGATTGAGATCGACATACATTTTTAAAATAAATTCGCGTGCAGCTTGGGCATCACGTTTGGGACCTTTTGAATAAAATGAAAATAAATAACAATGGAATATAAATACAAAAAATATCAACTAACCATCAAATTCAGGAAAATAATCAACCAAATGCGAGTGCATGATTTTCTCTTCGAGCAAGTCTTTCTTGTTCAAAAAGAGGATCACAGATGAGTTCGTAAACCATGGATAAGTTATGATCGTACGGAACAATGCTTTGCTCTCCTCCATTCGATTCTGAAATAAATAAAAAAAATTTTTATAAAAATCAACAAGAAAATTTATTTTTATTTATTAAATTAACCTCATTGTCAGATTCGACAAGAACTAGATCGTATTCACTTAATGCAGCTAGAAACATTATTGAAGTGACATTTTCAAAGCAATGAATCCACTTTCGACGTTCAGATCGTTGTCCACCAACATCAACCATACTATAGAAAGATATATGTATTATATTTGAAATATTAACAAAATTCTATATACCGAAAAATAATATTTTCAAGATCAAATGGATATTCAATTATTCCAGTTGTAGGTACTCGAACTCGTAATACATCTTGTTCTGTGGGTAAATAACCTGGCGTAGATATTCGATCGATACTATCCAAATAACTAAATATTACAAAAATAAAAATAAATAAATAAATAAATTATAAAAATGTTTTTTTACTATTTCGCTGAATCTGTTAATTGATATTCCCTTCGTCTATCATAGCACTCTTTTATTCCTGGATCATTCCAAAGACTTTTAATAGCTTCAACATATTGCGGTTCAAATGTCGTCACCGTTTCATAATCGACTGATCGTACAAGTGCAGCATGATCTTGCTACAAAACAGAATACAATAGAAATTATTAATATAAGCAAATAGATCTAACCTCATTTCTTTTATCTCTATATTGAATTTTGAGCGTATCCATAGCACGAATCATTATATGCATTGCCATGAATATATTTTGATAAACGAGTTTAACAAATGAACGTTTATCTTCTTCGGAATAACCTGTACCATGAATAATACGCATTTGTTTTATAAATGTTGATTTACCAGATTCTCCAGTACCTATTTAAGACAAAATCAAATGAATCTCTTCAATAAACAAAATCAATTAAATTTACCAAGTAAAAGTAATTTTAATTCTCGTCGTTGATTTTTTTTATCAAGACGTAATTGTTTTTCAATTTCACGATTTATTTGTTTCTGTTCACGTGCTTCAGCAGACAAACAGCACATCATCTTGATAAATTTTTACTTCTATAAGAACTTTTCTATGTTTATGAATTTCTATTGATAAATACTAAATTGACTAGCGAATTAGAAATAAATAAAGAATGATGATCATCTGCTTGTAATGTTTTCGATTGTTTTTGGAAATAAATAAAGACGAGTTAAAGAAGAATTTATATTATTTAATGAAATTGGACGTTCGTCGAGAGACTTCATACCATCTAAAAAATATTCTCAATAGAATTAAAACAATGATTGAGTGAGTAAATAAACAAACAACAGACCACCATCACTATTACATACATACACAAAGAATGGAAGAGAAAAAAAAAGAAAACAAAAAATCGTGAATCGTGGAGGATCTTTCGAGATTTTGTATACATTACACATTTATGCATTCAAATTTAGAATTTTTATTCGTTTGACTTTAAAAAATTTATTTCTATTTTTATTATAGAAATTTTTTTAAAATAAAAATCAAATATTTTTATTTTTATTTTAAGGAACTTTGTTGAATTCTTATTGGATAGAAAATTAACCAATAGATAATTAGTGATACGACAGCAATTAAAATATCATTATATGATGAATATTTCATCTTAATATTACAATATACAATAAATTAAGATTTGTAATTCATTAAAAATGAAACAGTTTTAGTAAAACAAATTGTTCAATAAGTAGCAAGATTGAGTAGATCTTATCAAATGTTTGACATATACAATAGAAATGATATTCTTAATTCAATAGCTTCAGGTGTATGGTTTCGTTTTAGAATTAGATTTATTTAGACGAATGTTTTATTTAATACTTTTTTATGCATGATCAAAGAAAATATGGGAATTTCAGTTATTTATCAATTATCATCATAATAAAATCAATAACAAGTGTTTTATCGGTGTTTTCTCTCATATGGTTCTACTCAGATTCAATGCTAAATAAAAAGTTGATTTTAAGTTAAATTCAAATTTAGTAGAATTGATAATCTTGATTCAGCACAAGAAATATGTTTTTTTTTATTTATGCACACATTAAATAACTGTGCATATATTGGATCAGAGGTACAGAATCTTCCCAAAAACCAAAAACTTCCCACTTCAGGAAATTTTTTTCGAAAAATTCCCCAGAATTTTCAAAAATTTCCCCGAGAATGCAGTTTATATAAATGTAATTCAATTGAAACATAAAAGCTGATGATCTTATCAGACAATGTTATTTTCCAGTACAAACGTGTTGCACTTAAAATTGTATATTGATGAATGGGAATTAAAAGTTTTCCAATCATTTGAAAAAAAACGAAGAAAAATACTCAGATGTTTAAGTTATTTAGACTCCCATCTTCTGGCGATAGGTAGATCACAATAAGACATGAACTACTTGAAAAGGATTCGTACCCTTGCGCCTTTGTTTCGGAGTTATGAATGTTTCACAAAAGTGTTCACGTACAACAAGCGAGATTTGAATGATGTTCCTTTAACCTGAATTTTTACCCATAGACTGGTCTTATCGTTAGTAGAATCTTCTACAAGTCTTGATGTTCTTTGTCTTACAATGATTGAATTTCTATGGCAAATGAGTATTTTTTCGGATAACTGGTAAAATACGACCTTTTTTGAAATTCGATAATCTCAAAACGAAAATATTAGTTGCGGATGAGACTTGTAGGAGATTTCAGTAACGATAAGATCTGTTAATAGGCAAAATTTCAGATCGAAGTAATATCATTCAAATTTTTCTGATCTCGCTTGTTGCAAGTGAAATATTCTGTAAAACCAATTGTTTTTATTAGTTTCTAATGAAGATTATTTGAAATAGACAGATTTTGTCTATATTAATATTTAACAAAATATCAATATTATATTCAAATAAAAAGAGGGAAAATGAATTGTTTCAAAGCGCTTTTTTCTCAATTGTCAAGTTTTCGACACACATAAACGGATTTGATTTTGTGTGTGTCGAAACGATGAAACTATTTCGTAATTTACTCTCAAAACATCGATCAAACAAGAAAAAATCATCATCATCCTCTCCTGTTAATATCAAATCAAACAATCTTATACAATCATGTTAGTATTTTATTGTTGTATAGTTCGAATTTTATTGAATATTATAGCTGTGTCTTCATGTTGTGAACAAACATTAAATTTACTTGATAAACATACAAAATGTACATGTCATTATTTTGTAAGTTTTCCATCATCTAATTCTAACAATTTTCAAATCATTTAAAAAGAATTTTAATGAAAATTGCTTAGCAAAAAATATACATACAAAATTAATGTCAGTTGATCCATCTACTTGTTCTTTTCTATCATCTCGATTATCAATAAATATTATGTTAGTTTCAAATTATTTCTTTTTGATTAAACTTAATCATTAATATTCTAATATCTATAGACCTTCTCTAGAATATCTTTCTAATGTTCAATGTATTTCAACTATTGCTGATTTTTGTTTTTGGTATGATGTACGATCTGCATTATTAGATATTATTGATCGAATAGTAACAATGAATGCAACTCAAATTTATCTAACTGAAAAAATATCTCCAACTATAGTAAAATTACATATTCCACCAATAAATACAGTTTATCGAAAGATTCGACGACCAAAAACTTCAATTGCAGTACAAACATCACATGATTATGATCAACGACGAAATGCTAAAGTACAAGCAAATACAGTGACAATTTTTTCATTACAAAAACCAAATCTTTCTTCATCGAAATTATTTTTAAATTAATTTCATTATTTAATAAGAAAATTTGTTTAAATAATAACCATTGAAAAGAAAAATAATTTGATTAATATTAATATGTCAGGAAATGTCAAAATTGCTTTATTATCATGATAAATAGAATATTGATACTAATGAAGTTATCGTTAATACCTCGAAAATATACAATATAAGAATCTATGCATATACAATTGTAATTATTATTACAATATTCCTATTAAGTTGTCATTTATAGGTTAAATAGTATCGAGTCATACAACATATTAAGGGTGAAATGAGTTTATGTATATCAATAATAATAGGAAATGAATTTATGTAGAACAATTATATTAAGGTCAAAGGTTCTTTTTGTTTTGTCTAATTGAGAATTATTATTTAAACGAATAATCTCAATGATTTATATATCTCCTGATTGAAATAATTATAGTCTATTTGTTTTCTAGGGAAATAAGAACAATTTGATTTTTCGGAAAATTAATATATTCTAAAATAGGGTTGTCGTCAAGTCTAAATTGTTGATAACTATAATATCTTAATATGACCCATGTCATCAACTTTTTAATAGTTATAAAAGAAATAAATTAAATCATATCTGATTGTTTTTGAATATGAAATATCTGAAAGAAAATATCCTACTAATCGAACTCTTAGTACCATCTGATAATTTTCTTTTCTTTGCCTATTGATAGTAATATTCATTATTATCTTTCAACATAATGTATTTCTATGTATCTTCTTTTTTTTTCTTTTCTCCTTTTTCTCGCCATGCTTCATCTTATTTCATATATAAGTAACGAGCCTGCTACTTTCCTCAATATGGACAGATAGACCAACACAATACACAGACATAAACATAGAACGAAAGACTTCTGAGAATCAATCAACACCTATTTAACCTAACGACTAACAAATAAAGTTTGCCAAATATTTGTTTATTAAGAACATTTTAATCAAACAAAATTCAATAAGTGTGCTGAACTTAAATTCTACAATCTTGATTAATTGTGAAAAGTAGACAACTCAATTCATTCCATTCATGGGCGACAGTGAATATAAGACTATAAAAACACATGAACCAGTTGTCTACCAGTCAATCGCCGACAAGTGTCATCGATTGGGTAAGTTTATTTGTTTTTACAAAAAAAGAAAACGAATTAGATAAAATACAAAAGTACTCTAATATCTATTATCCAATCAAATTTGGATTATTTCGTCTAATAAAGTTGACCTTACAAAGTAATTTACGTCATATACATACGAGAAAGATATGTATCTAAACCTGTAGGTCCTTTGTTGATTAGTTTTTCTTTTTTTCAATTCTAATAAGCAAACGTCTGTTGTTTTTATGTCAGATAAATCTAAAAAACCTGACATGTAATTTTTTTTTCTCTCCAATCTATTCAAGACTAATAATAATAATAACTATTTAAATAATTTGCATTTTATACTATAATCTATTTATTTTAATTTCTAATGCATCGATCATAACAAGAATATGTAGATCATATATTCTTGTCTACTTGTTTTTATATATGTTCGATTGATATGCCCTATTTTGTTTTCCCTATAATATTTAATAGCAATGTTATTATCGTTATGGTTAATAAAAATGATGGATTGTTGTTCATCATAGATTATTGCTAATGGCTTTTTCCCACCATTTAGTCTTGACTAATTTTGATATACTGCCATACTTCGGTTCTTTTTCTCTCTCTCTTGATGATTACTAATGATATGAAGAGATAAATGCATCAATAAAATAGGTTTTTTTATCAATAACCATGAAAAAAAGAAGGAAACAGCTGTTTCTGTCACCTAGTTTTATTTAGGTAAAACATAAAAAAATCTATCACAAATCAATTTGTTTGTACATTAATAGTTTTTATAATTGCAGATTAAGTTTTTCTTTTTTAAAAACTAAATATGTATATATTTATAGATATTATTATTATTTTTTGTTATCTAAGATGAGATAAAAGACAATAAGAAAAATAAATATTAGATTATCATAGGAAAGATATATATTTTTCTATTAATATGCTTTGATATATCAGAGATGAAAGATAAGAGAATAGTTAATGATTATTGATCATTTATTCTAAACAACGAGAAAAAAAACGTCAATTTATAATTCAAGAGATTACCTTGAAAATGTCAAAATGATAATTCGATTGTTATTTTCATATTTATTTAGCATCTTCTAAATAAATCACTTGCTTTTTTAATGTATTGATATCATGCATCTGTTGCCAGTATTGTCTTTTGTTATTAACTTCCGCAAGAGATAACTGCGTAAAACAACACCATTTTTCTTTTTGTTTTTTGTTTCAAAAAAAAAGAAAATATGTGACACTTACTTACATAGTCTTTTGTTTAAAAAGAAGAATAATGACGTTAATCGAAATATTGATGTAAGCAAATGGAATGAAAAAAGAAAAGCATAAATATATACAATAACAATTGATCGGCGGTTCAACTATTTTCTCATCGATCATTAGTAGTTTTAGAAGAAGAATAGACGTTATTTTAATAATGTTCTTCATCGAATAACAAGCAAAATAGGTGCGTGTTATTCAAATCATCGAGAAAAAATCTCGACTGACATGGCAACTACAACTATTTACAATGATTCTTCTAAATTATCGAAATTTTGTGAATATATTCACGAGACTTTATGTACTAGACCTACTCTTAGAAATATTCATATTAATCCAACTAGAAAACAAAAAATTGCTGCTAATCTACTCTATGTATATAATCCATATCAAATTGGGGTAAGAAAAATGATTTATATTTAATAGAAGAATTTAATTAAATATAAAATATCAGTAAAAATTTTAAGAAAATACTTTTCCGTTAAATGTTTAAGATGGTACCTCTGTCATTTTTCATATTGTATATGTATATCAATATCTTCTACGTTGTTATCATAATGTAGATACACTCTCGGTTCTCCTTGATATCTGTTGAAATCATTTAGTAAGACCTTGTATTTGACAAAAACTATCTCTTAAACCAGTTAGTTTGTTTGTATGACGTAGATACTCCTGACGTAAGTATATATATATCTATCTATCTATATATTGTTATATGTATGCATATGTTTTGTCTGTCACTTCTTTAGTCGATAATCCATCTGTAGACAAGGTTAAGTTTAATCATTAGACAACAGAGATTTTTCTTTTTATCTTCTTACCTCATCAAAAATATCAAGACAAGTATTTCCTTTTACAGTCTTATTATTATCAACATCTTATCTTTGGATAAGTCAACATTGATCTTGTATAACGTATTGGATAAAAATTCGTTTTTTATCTTTTTAAAGTTTAAGATGCAATCATCTGTAATAAAGACAGATCATTTTCTTTTTTATAATATTTATAAGGTAGTAGAGAATTAACTAACTTATATATTTATTATTTTTCTTGTTATTTTCTTTTTAGCTTGAACATTTTACAGAAGAACAAATTCAAGGTAAGAACATTTATTTGAGATAACTGAAAAATCATTTTTTTTGTTTTAAGAGTTTCGACAAGCATTTCTTCTTTACGATAAAGATTCCGACGGTGCCATTAGTCCTAAAGTACTCGGAAGTGTAATGAGAACACTCGGACAAAATCCTACAGAAGATGAATTAAAAGGATTAATCAATGAATTTGATTGTGAAGGTTTGTTTAGAATATTTTTACAAAAAAAAATATTTCTTTCTTTTTATTTTATAGGTAAAGGATTAATAGATTTTAATGAATTTCTTCAAATGATGGCTAAACGAGCTCATGAACATAATGAAGAAGATGAATTACGAGAAGCTTTTCGCGTGTTTGATAAGAATGGAAATGGTTTTATTAAAGTAGCTGAATTAAGGTTAGAAAAACAAATTTTCTTTTTTCGTATTTGTCTGTATTTAAAAATCAAATCAAATTTTCTTTAAAGACATGTGATGATTAACTTGGGTGAACAATTTTCTGATCATGAAGTTGATGAAATGTTACAAGAAATTGATATAGCTGGAAATGGAATTATTCGATATGAAGGTAAACATTTATTTTCTGATAAATTATAATCAATTGTTTAATATAATTTAGAACTTGTTAAAGTAGTTATTGGAAAATAATTCTTATATTTTTAATTTGGCGTATCTATCTGTGATATTAATATTTTATTTTCTTCTTTTATTGTTCAATGAATTAAATAATCCTGCTAGAGATTATGTTAATTCGTGTATTAGGCTCAGCTTTATACATTCACATATCTCAAAATATAAAACAATTAGAACGTACATATATGTTTAATAGATTATGCATGTTGAATGGCATATGTCTTTTCTTTTTTTGTCTATGTATTTTATTTTACTATTTTGTTCTTATTCGTTTATTTTAGTAAAATGAAAATTATTTATTAATCATTGAATTAATGTATAATATGCTGAAAGATTTAACTGCACAGATGATTATTAGCACTTTCATAGATCGATATAGAATTTAAGAGAAGTGTTCAATATTTCGTAAAATTTTTGAATTTATTCTAGTAGTTTTGAATAAAGAAATAAATATGAATAGAAGAAAAATCGAGTTTTGTAAGTTACGCAAAAGGTCATATCAATCGTCTATGGAAACATACTGTCAGTTTTTACTTGACAAAGAAATAAATGCTCTTGTATTTGTTACAACATAAGTAAACAACGATTAGAAAACAATTACATATGTTATATATACATATATATCTCGACTAGTTATAAAAATACATTTTAGTTATTTATTTATTTATCTTCTTCTTCTTCTTCTATACGATTAGAATGTCTCGACTTATTAATACTGTTAATATTACATATTTTGATATCTGATACTAATGTATTTTTATCTAATCATAGTATTTAAACAATTATCATTGATTATTACTAAGAGAAATACTAACATTGACATTGCTAACATTATTTGATATACATTCCAGAATTAAACAACTTACTAATTTGATATCAGTTTATGTAAAAAAGCGCATTCTTCTTGATTAAATTGTACTTTTTGAAGAAATCCTTAGTCCATAAGGAAGGACTAAATAAGACTAAAAAGTGTACCAATCAGTAAAAGTCTATATGCCTTCTTTTTTGCAAACTTTCTTTTGATGTAGAATTCTCAGTGTTTTAGAATATTTGACGTGTCTGCACAAATAAATGCTTCTTTTCCATGATGATGAATAGAAACAAAAAATTCTACTTTTTCTTGCCATGGAAAAGAAACGTTCGTTTACTCAAAAACTTTCACGGTGACTTTGATTAATAAAAGTAGAGTAAGACAATGACGTTTTCTTAAAACATTTCGTATTATTTATCTAATATATGTGTCATAGACAGCATACATAGATATCGTAATTGTTATTGTTCTGTTGGTTGTCGTTAGAAACATTATCAATCTTTTATTCACAATGCAAACTTAAGTTCGCAAATAGTCTACAAAAGAAACAAGTTTAGTTGCCACTGACTTCACTTTCGTTGAATAGTTATTCGAATAAAAACATTTTTGGTTCGCTTAGCGATGTCAGACGTTTATTGTTTTGTGCTTTTATCTGAATGTTTTATTTTTCTTTCATAATCTATATTTACGACTGTGATGCAATAGGAAAAAAAAGAAAGAAAAAAAGGAAGAAAAGAAAGAAAAAAGAAAATTCCTGTGACACACATTGACTATAAAAACAGGTGAGTGAAGCTTTTATATTTGATCAAGCCACACAGATGCATTTTTAACAACGGCGACAACAAGACAAATCGTGCAAAAAACCACATTATTTCATCTTTATTTGTGACAACATTAAACAAAATGGCTACGAATAATCGAGTTTCTTCAGATAATGGTAACGTGAAATTTATTTTCTCGTTTTAGTCTGCAGATATTGATATTTGAAAAGAATACTACAAAGAGAAATCGTGTGTAAGAACTAGAAGATTCAATATGTTTTAATAATTTGATATTGGTAGCTTCGACAGATTTCCTCATTGTTACGAAAGTTTTAAATATGACTTTCAAAAACAACAAGAGTAGCATGCTATTGAATCTCTAAATCATTTTTGTGAAATACAATCTCAAAGAGGTATTGAAGTATATTGTAATAGAAATTTGAATCTCATGGATCTAATAGTGAATTAAATAACCTACTCGCCCACATTTACAAATAGCCAATAGATCATATTTAACAAAGCCTGTTTTATTAAAAACTTTAACTAATATTTTTCAATAACTTTGAATTACTTTGTGATTCATTATTTTTGAATTATTTTATAATTCAGATTCGTTATCCAGTGTGTAGTAGAAAAACAAACTTGCAAATAAATATCTAATTCTAGGTAAGCCATGGCTCGAGCTTCAATTTCGAACAGAAAATACAGTCACAAGAATCCATGAACTCGACAACCAGTTAACATATCCGCCGGCAGGAAAGGTTCAGAAAGACATTCTTAATCGTGTTCTGGGATCACTACAAGGTCTGGCTATGGGTGATGCTCTTGGTGCTCATGTTGAATTTCGGCCTTATCACTTTTTAGAAAAAAACCCAGTGGAAGATCTTCACAGTGGTGGTACTTGGGGGCTCAACAAAGGAGAGGTAACTTCTACTCATACAAATTCTCTTGTGTTTTGTGTAAATTAAGAACATCGAAGTTTAACTCATAACTTACAATACAATTCTTATGTTTAAATTTCGAGATAGAGTAACACCTAATACTTCATCAAGAAGTATTACCTAGCCATCTTAATTATCAGATGGTTTTCATTCTGTGTGATAATCACAAACAAAACATTATTCATTTGAGAGATGAAAATTTTTGTCTTATATTACGCGAGTACTTTTCTTTCCAAATATTGATCAATAAATCATTTGTAATGCTGTCGTGAGTGCCAAAAGTCAATATATTATGACTTACAGCCTCTGTATTTGAAATGACAAGTAATTTAGAAATAAAATGGTATAGTAACATATTCTGTCAAAAAAAATTGGTTTATTCAATAACATAGGATGCCGAAGAATATACTTCATCAATATGTGGTAATTAAGGCGCTATCTGACTAAATGAGTAAGAACAGAAAAATCTCAAATTATTCGACAGTTTGGTTTAAGTTTTGCGTTTGAAGAATATTCAAAAGTGACTGTTTTTATTCAATTTTTAGTTCACCGATGATACTTCTATGGCTTTATGTCTAGCAAATTCATTGGTAGCACGAAAAGATTTTATCCCTTATGATCAGCTCGTTCGATACAAATGGTGGTTCAGACATGGTTATATGTCGTCCACAGGAACATGTTTCGATATTGGTGCAGCCACTAAACGATCATTGATTGAGTTCGAGCATCGACAACAAGCGTTTATGAAGAAATCTAAATTTCCTAAGGATAAAATTGACTTTGTCTTATCTCCCGATCTGCTAAAAAAATTCAATGTCGATTGCAGCGAAAGTGATGCTGCCGGTAATGGAGCTTTAATGCGACTTGCTCCTGTACCACTCTTCTTTTACCGTTATCCTGAGTATGCAGTTGAGTTTTCGGGCGTCAGCGGAAGAACGACTCATGGTGATCAAATTGCTTACGATGCTTGTCGTTATTATGGTGCTTTGATAGTGGCTGCTCTTCAAGGCAGTAGTTTTGAGGATTTGCTCGATAAAAATTTTTATGAGAATCATTTACCGTGGTTCAACAATAAACCACTACATAAAGAGATCATAAAAGTTGCAAGAGGATCTTACAAAAAATATGGTGGACACAAAGATGGTATTCGAGGTAAAGGATATATTGTTCAAAGTTTAGAAGCTGCGTTATGGGCCTTTTGGGCTAACAAAGATTCCTTTGGAAAAGGTGCTCTTGATGCTGTCAATCTTGGTGATGATACAGACACAACAGCAGCGATTTATGGTCAATTAGCAGGCGCATACCATGGCTTTCGTAATTTACCTGATAAATGGATGCAGCATATGTATGGAAAAGAATTTATCCACTGTTTGAGCCAATGGATAGTTTACGAAGGACAGAATTGGAGTCCAGATAAATCGCAAACTTTAATTATAAATTTACCTAGTACTCAATCGCAATCTAATCCTATCCCTACCTCATCGAGCACAAATAAACAAAATTATCCTGAACACGCATCTGCAAGTTCATCACAAGTGAGGCCTAAATCTGGAGCCTCATATGCAAATATTGGTTCGACGGCATCTTCAAAAGATATACAGAGACAAATGAGTACACCTTCGGGATCAACACAACTCGATAATGCTAGTTCATCCTTCAACACACAACAAACTCAGAATAGAAATACTTCCCAACATTCGACGACTTCACCCAAAGACTACAATACTGCTGAACGTAAGGGTTCTACTTTTGTCTAAATACTAGTAACGAGCAAAGGAGTTGTACAAAATGATTATATCATATGTCGTTTATACTAAATTTTTTAAAAGTATTTTAAAAAGAGTATCTTATTGTTATTTCATTTTGTAGCGGGTTATTTTCTTCAACGCTTGCAAACACGTTCAGGTGTTGATGAATGGCTCATGTCACTTGGCACAGAATATAAGCAATATGTGCCTTGCTTTGAGGAACATCTAATTGATGGATTTTGGCTTCTCAATTATGTTAACAAAGAAAGTCTCATTAAATATGAAGTCAGCAATGAAGAGCATCGAAAAAAAATTCTTGATGGTATTCAACTCTTGGTAGACGAATGCAAGAGACTAAGATCGTCAAATGGAAATTGAAGAACTCAGACTGATCAATATTGGCTGCAAAATGATTAATAATTATTCTTTGATCAAATATGCTCTTTTTTTTAAATGATTTTCTTTTATTAAAATAAAATCGATAATATATTTTAGAACAGTTTAATATTAATCACAACATATTCTTCATCTTTTGTGTTAAATTAGAATACATTTATCTTATGATTTATAAATATAAATTTTCAATGGAAACAAATCAGTTTCGTACTTATTATATCTTTCTCTCACAACACTGAAATATACGAATATATGTGTTATACTGTAATTCAAAGGATGGATAATAAATCAGATTCAATATCATCATATATATATATATCCTTAATAATAACACAATGTGATTAAAAACAAGAAAACTATTTCCTATTTATTTTCTTATTTTTATATATTTCTTAATAGAATGAAATGCAAGACTATCATTTTCAAAATTGATTCTTTTCACATAAATGTAATACATATACTTTAGAAAGATGTTATTCGATTAGCATAAGACATATAGAAGAATCAATTACATATACAATATTTGATATTTAAATTTATTCCAAAATAAATCTTACAAAAAAACAAAAATTAATAAAATGAAAAATGTCAATTTAATTGATAACTACACATGTTCATCAGCAATTATAGCATGATTAGAATTGCCTATATGAATAAAAATTAAAAAGAAATCAATTATTACTATTAATTACATGAATAATTACCTGATCTTTTTTCATATTCTTCTTTTAAACATCGATAAATAAATAAATATTGATGCTAATTATAAACAATTAAATTTGTTTTAAAACTTTATTTAATAACAAAAATTTACCTCATTTTGTACCATTTTATCTCTACATCGCCTCATATCAAGTACAGTTCCATAAATATCTAAATATCCATAAAATGATACTTTATCAAATTGTTGTAATAAACGATCAAGTGCAATAAATGTTCCACTACGACCAACACCTGCACTACAGTGTATTAATATTGGTCCATGACATTCTGAACGATATTTTGAACGAATTAAACGAATAAAATCAATTAACATATCACTATTTGTTGGAACAGTATGATCATCCCACATTTTAAATGCATAATGTTTTATTGAACGAGTTTCATCATTCTAAAACAAAATATATTCAATCGATATAATTAATTATTTTTCATTATAATTTTTTTCACCTTTTTTAATTGAATAGAACGTAAATCATAAGAATTCATATTAAGACATGCAGTTACACATACGGATATATTACCAAATATTTCAACATCCTCTAAATTGGATGGCCAATATCGTTCACATTTATTCTAAAAAAGAAGGATATATTTTGAATGTAGCTTTTATTCTATGTGACAATTTCTTTCATAAAATGAATAATTCGTAGTATTTCATTCAATATAATAAGGGCGTTATCTATTTCGTTAGCTACTATTTCATATTTGATTTTAACTTTTAGAACTCTAAAAGCTGTTCAATTTCTCTGAATCTGCTATTATAATTACTAACTCTTTGTATATCATTAGAATCTAACATTTCGAAAAAGCGCAAGAGAGAAAGTGCGGGCATCTGAGCACCTAAAAGTGACATTAGGTGCTGTCGACACCTAGCTGGCACTTTCTCCCTTGATATCATGACTTTTTATACGACCTATGATAGATTTTTGTATTATAAAATATTTACCGTTCCTCGTTCAATAAGATCTGTAAGCATAATAATAAACGTAACATTTTGTTCCCATATCATTTGCCAATGATCATTAATTGTTGTCTTCAATGGACCTTGGCATGCAATATATTCTCGAGGATTATGTAAACCCTAATTTTTGTTTTGTCAATATACATATTTATTTATTAAATTCCTATTCTATTGATATTAAACTTACAGTAATAAAATTCGCATTAATATATCCTGAATCACATTCATCAATAGGTATTAATTTAACACGAGAATGTTCATCTATAAAATTAAAATAAATAATTTCTAATTAAAAAAAAAATAAAATTTCCTACAAGGTATTATATCTTTATAACGATTTTTAAGTAATTGATTACATTGTGTAAATTCTGGTATTTCTTCAAGACTATTTCGAAGTTTCTAAAATATAAAAATAACAGAAAATATTGATTTTTAATAATTTAATTAAAAATCTAACATGAAATTCATCGGATAAATTATAATAATTATTTGCAATTAATTGTTCGTATTCAGATGGAAGATCTTTTATTCGAATTGGTCTGAAGAAGAAAATAATTTCTAGAATTAATTCAATTGATTTGTTTTACCTTGATACGAAAGTATGTCTAAAATAGAATAGAATAAAACATCATTTCTATAGAAGAAAAGGAAACTATACTTTTTCGAATTTGTTTGTTTCGTATGAGGAAATCTATGATCAATGAAAAATATTTTTTTAATAATTATTAATTTGAAAAAATTAACATACATATTAACTTGATTAACAATATTATTTAATTTTGTTGTTGTATTTCTATGATTTATTGTAAATTGATTATTTCGTTCATTGGAATGTTTTCTAGAATTCTTTTTATATATAAAAATATATTTAAATTAAAATATCTTACTGACGACGTCGTCGATAAACAAAAATAAACGCAGCTAATACAATTAAAATAGGTATCAATAAAATCCCAATCATTGTAGGAATAAGAACAGATTGAACAAAAGATCCTTCTAATTAAAATAATTCAATAAAATATTCATTACAAATAAATATATATTAATATACTTTTAGTATTTTCATTATTATGATTATTTGAAATAAAAACAAGTCGAGTTTCAATAATCTCTGATGTAACTGTTTCCCATCCAATTCGTTTTGTTTCAACATAAATTCGATAATATTCGTCTGGTATTAAATCTGTACATACAGTTGAATTAATAAAAACTTTACGTTGTTTCAATGATGTCGCTTCACAAATTAAAATTAATCGTTCAAAACATCCATAAGGTTGATCAAAATCAACTTCGATTTCTCTTAATATGGGTGACATGGAAATAATTCGAAGATTTTGAACTGTTTCTAATGCTAAATAAGGAAAAGAAAATTATTTATTTCATCATTCTTAATCATCAAGAAAGTATGACAGATAAGTCACAAGATATGAATTAGAATCAGAATTTTGTGCTCTAAATCATAGCTTTTGACTCGTCTGTCATATTTTTTTGTTGGTCAAGAGTGAGTAAATTTTGTGTCTAAAAAAAATTCGATTACGCGTTATTTACGTGTTTGAAATTGAATATTTGTTAACGTTGAATTATTTAATTGAATATCACATGGAAATATTGAACATAAAGAATTAATAAATATTTCACTAAATATAATACGAAATTGATATCGACAACCACATTGAAGTTGATTACAATTATAAATTTTATCATTTAAGATACATTCTGTTGAATATAATATAGAAAAATTATTTAATAATTCTCCTGCACAATGTTCATTTGTTTTCCAAGTACGAATTCGTAATAAAGATGGATCTTTTTTTTCAATGAAACAAAAATAAAAAATTCCTAACAAATATTTTTTTACTTACTTGTATTAGCAAGTTTGAATACAGAACGTTTTTCCCAAATAAATATATTTTGAAATGGCTCTCGATGTATAGTTACTGATATATTATAAACTGTTCCTGGAATAAGTTGATTAAATGTATTTGAAAAAGAACATATTTGAATAGTATCATTTGTTATTTGTTCAATACAATAAATTATTTTGATTTTTGACATATTATATTGATTCGTATTTACAATTAGACTATTAACAGACGGTCGAAGAATATTTTCGATAATTAAATTTTTAAAATCTAAAGATAATTTATTACATTGTAATTAAATTTAATAGAACAGATGAAATAATTAGGTTGTTTGTATTTTCAATATTTCTTCTCTAATTTTCATTTGATTTAAACATTTTATCTTATCCAAAAATGACGCTTTAAATTCTCTAGCACTTCTATTCAAAGGACTAAATATAAATATGGTATTATTGGTAATGATCATTTTAGAAGGAAATATTAGACTTATGAATCTGTTTTGTTTCTTATCGTAGATTATAAATAAGATGATGGATTAATTTCTAATGAAATGTTCTTTGAAGTTTATAAGAACAGATCTTCTTCCACTTTTTCATTACTCATTGAGAACTACTTATGATATAAACTCATTGAACACTTCGGAATGCTCCCCTCTTGTCGGATGAGACACTTTCTTGTGTTCAGATATGTATTCAGATAAAGATTTCAACCGCATCTGTACATAATTTAAAACATGTTCTAAATATATCCAACTATGCTTACATTGCAACAAAAATATTCCTACGAGTTTGATATTTATTGTATTCTCTCAATCATAAAATGACTATCAATACTGATATAATTAATTTTATTATACTCTTCTAATAATGTACTTGTCAGGTTGAAGGTAAAATGGCACCTTACTCAAAATAAATAGTTATCAACAAGAAAGCTATGGACTGAAATCAATATCTGACGAAGATTACATAGTAAACAAATGCATTATTAGTAATTCGTTTGTTTTTGTATGCACATGAATCAATGTTTATCTATCTAAACTCACATAAATACGTAATATTAAGATTATAATACTATCTCTCACATATAATATCTTCAATACAAAGTGAAGAAATTTTAAGAATACAAACAATATAATGTTTTTCCTAGATCTATACCTGTCTGAATATGATAATTCGTATTTTGAAATAATGGTAACCAATTAGATTTTGAAATATTAAATTCTAATTGATAAATACTTGCTTCAGTTAAATTTATAAATAATGCTGTTCTATGGTTATTTTCAATTGGATATTCTAATAGATTTGTTTCAAGATTTCTTAATCGAGCTTGAACATGAAAAGGATGAGCAAGCCAAGATATTCCTACAATTGTTTCATTTAAAAATTCATGTCGAATAGAATTCATTGATATTGGACTAAGATCTATACAAACATTTTATTTTATTTTTTTAAAAATACTTCTTTTCTTTACTTGTTTTTATTGAACATGTTCCAGTTTTTTGACCATTATAATTTGGTAATATCTTTTTTAATTTAGCTATAACATGATATTCTTTACCTGATTCTAAACGATATTGTTTTGTTGAACAAATATCTTGAGATATATATGGATTACATGATAAACTCCATATATGTTTATTTTCTTCATTTAAAATCGAAATTGTTAAATTTGAATAACCCGAAGCAGTAAGATTTGTCCAATAAAAATCAATTTGTTGATTATTTTTATTTAATTCACATCCAAAATATAAATCTTCTAGGTCTTTAAAAAAAAGAACAAAAGACAATATAATTTCTTACTTTATTTGTCAATTAAATATATAATTCATACCAGTATAAACAATTGTAACATCACTTGATGGTGTTTGATGATGATCAGCTAATGCATAATAAGTTAAAACAAACCATTGTGCAGAAGGAAGATTTTTGAATAAACAATGATAATATGGAGAATCTCTAATTGAATATTCAATTGAACATGTTTGATTAACACTTGTTAATTCAATAATTAATCGATAAAATAAACCAGGTAAAAATATTAAACTATCAATTGATGTTGCACTATTTGTTGAATTTAAATATTTTGGTTTTCCTATTTCTAATTAAATCTCAACAGAATTAATTAACATGTCTATTAAATAAGTAAATCTTACCATAAAGCTTTTTCTTTGTTGCTAAACTAATATTTCGTGTACCACATAAAACATATCCATCGACTGTATAAGAAACTCCTATGTAATAGAAAAAGAGACTTTGAGTTTTATCGTTTTATATTTAATTTTACCATAAATGAAATTATTATCGCATGTTATTAATCCATGTTGTTTAAAAGATGATACACATAGTTTTGTTTCATCCAATGATAATGATTGAAAAATGAATGTTATATTTGATTCTCGTTTTGATGGACATGTATTATTGAATAAAATATCCACAGAATAAGAATTTTGTTGGTCTATTCGTGAGGAATGGATTGTTAAAGAGATAATAGAAAAGAATAGAGGGGCTAAAAATACATTAAGAAAATTAAAAAAATTAAATTATAAAAGTTCATCTCACCGACAACAGCCATTTAGAGAAAAAAAATTAGAGAAAAAAGAAAAGTCTAGTCATCATTTCTCTTATTTTGCTTATTAGAAATTCGGAAAGATGAAACCATTTTATCAGTTATTTAAAACAGAAAAGAAAAAAATACAAAAATATTTTACCTTCAGTAATTATCGGAATACTTGAAGAAGAAGAAGAAGAATATGATATTGTTGTTTCTTTCGAAGTCAAATATTCATAATAAGTTGTATTTCTTTCTTCTACAGTCGATAATTCAACATATACTGTTGAAGTTAAATTTTCATATGAAATACTAGTACTATTATCATTATTCATCATATGAAATTGATAATAGGATAATATATTTTGACAATTCCATAATAATATCTAAATGTTTGTATATAAGATTATTTTCTGATAATTTGTTATTAAATAATTACTTACGAATATAACTATTACTTTCGTTGACATTAATTGAAAGTAAAGTTCCCTTTTTCTCTTTGATAATGTGTAAGAAAAACAAAGAACAAAGCAAATGTTTTACACTATTACAATGCCATTTGTACTTTTCTTTTTACACATATACAGCGATTACTTTTTCTCAATAGACTCCTGACGTAATACGAATCGAGTCAAGAAAAAGAAAAAAA